TTGCAATACAACTTTGGTAATATATATTTGTAATATTTTCTTATTTCATCAGAGGATGGTGAAACCAATAATATGATATCTATATCAGAACCCGGACTGCACAGCTAGCTAGTGCATTTGAAATGGAAATTTTAAAGTACATGGACTTGGTGTGAAACTGTCTCCGACCTACATCCACCTGAACTACCTTGTACGAACGCGGCGTTATCAGCAAAGCTACAGGAAAGAGTAACTAGCACCTCGTAATTCAACCTTTCGAGTTCAGGCCGAGTATAGCGGTGATCTGGCTTGTATTCCTAACGCGTATCACGATGTGCATGTCTTAGTCTAACCTAAAATAAATCTATGGACAATATAAAGTACCTACCTGAAAGTTCTTTGACCAATGCGAACAAGACGAATGCATTATCTTTCAGATTGTCAACCACTCAAATATCGACGAGTTTGCAACATGCAATGTATATATATATATATATATATATATATATCGTATATAAAACTGAAACAATAAAATAAGTTGACAATTATCAAACTTGAACAATTGGAACATGAGATAAACCCCACAAGATACAGGATTTAAACGGGTGCGAGATCATAACCCCCCCCCCCCCCCCCCCCCCCAAACAAGACTTTAGAAGTAGAAAATGGGATTTTCACCTACATTGTTAAATAAATAACGCGTTCTCTTAAAACCCAGCTATAAAGGCTTTGTCGTAGAGCCATTTAAATGACTATTTAAATTTCCTTTTTCAAAGATGAAATATCATAAATCTTCTGAAAGCGTTGGAAAAGGCAAACATTTGTGATATGCTCTGTGTATTTCTCAGTTTTAAATATATAACACGTTCGGATCAATTTGTTTCGATTTGTCTACCTTCACGTTGCATTTTGAGTATTTTTTGACATGGAAGATTATTTCCAGCCCCAAACACAGGGCATCTCCCTTGTACGAAAGACTGAATATTAAAAAAAAAACGCTATTCTCAGTGATAAATATTGCTAAATGGTTCAAATCCATCGGAAATTAAAGCGAGGTCATACACTTTAAAATGTGTAGTACTAACATGAATATCCGTTTACATTCATATATGTCAAATAAACTGTTTTCTATTATTAACAATTTCCCGCAAATGAATTGTTTTTTATGCACTGAAAAGTTATTGGACACGTTTATTGGACACGTTTAGTGGCCATAACGATCGTTTCAAAATTTTGTTGTTATTGTTATTTTCTTTCGTCATTATCCTTAATAAATCGCTTTTCTCTTCGAATACTGGACCAATTGCTTTGAAATTTTCAGTGGTTAAAGATAAAATTTTTCTCCAGAAGGATATTACTTTTTTCTCTCGCTATGACGTCATCAAAATTATTGCCATTGGGTGGCGCTACGTGTCCATATATGTGAGCATAGCTCTCTTGTTTATACAAGTAACATCATTTATGTAGACATCCAAGGCGACATATAAGAGGGGTCCGGCTTAGTGACGAAATAGGCTAAAACATTTGGTGGTCTGAATTAGGTGGACGAATTAAGCGGACAAAAATTTTATATCTGTTATCGAGAGGATTGTGTTGACTCTTTTTCTCCGTAGTTGTCAACGGCTCTCGCGCTCTCCGAGCACGTATTCAAAAACAATGATACGGACACAGGAACGACGTCCGCTTAAGTACTGCAATTATGGCAGGTCCGTTTAACTACCGTAATAGAGTTATATATATATATATGTACATGGTTGACCGTGTATATACGAGTTGTTCATCCTATAGTATTTCACACACGAAGGAGTCCTGAATGAGGATTCATAGAAACAACCGGCTCCTCAAATAATAATTTTGTGATAAATCCACCTATAATTGTTTTGAATTTTTTTAGGCGACTGCTATGAGATAACGTAAGCGGGTAATGATGATTCTTAATTACATGTATCTGGATCCACATGTGATCTCACTGGCAAAATACAAAGGCTGGAATATTAAATCAAAGTTCAATTATTATGTAGGCCTTTTTGCTACATTGTAGCCTACTGTGTGAAAATGCTTAGCAAAATATGACAGTCCATAAATTAATAGCATTGTCCGCATACTACTTACGTGAGAACATGTTCATGTCCGAATACTGCCAGTTTTATTGCACAGAATTTCGTGAATGATGTCTTGTGAATATTGGTATAAAATTTCACGAGATTCTATCCAGCAAATGGGATCTATCAAAAACGATGGTATTGCAACTTCGTATTTTCAACAAAGTCCTGTGCACTTCTATACTGCTAGGCCATTTCAATATGCAAAATGATCCTTACTGAGGCACAGCACCTTCGCAGAAAGATTTATAGAGACCTTTACACTTTATAAAGTACACACCATGCATAGCCATTTACAAACATGGTGTGCATATTCGGTCCGTATTGGTTTAAAGACGAAATTGAAAGAGCTCAAGAGGTGGAACTTTATGTAGAAGTGCTTAGGCCTTGGGGAGTTCTGGACATCACCCATACAATGTAGAGGGATTGATGTAGATGAACAGTAGTTCCTGCAAGACGGTTTCACACAAACATTGAATCACACCATTGACTGTCTGGGAGAGTAATTTTAGGAAAAGCTAATCAAGAGTAACTGTGACTTGAATGTCTGAGAGAGTAACTCCAGGAAAAGCTGATCAACAGGAACTGTGACGTCGAGTGGACAGCAACACATTTATCAAAATTGAAATCTTCAAATTTTTTGTTCATATGTGGATATATTCGAAGAACGGTGTGTATCAGAACCCTCCTGAAACAATTGGTGAACTGAAGCGAAAATCAGTGAATCCCCGAAAAGGAGTGTGTGCGAGTGATCAACAATTTACGCAATGGATGCAAGTCTGTCTCTAACGTCGAGGAGATCATTTCGAAGATATTTTAGCTAGAAAGTACATAACTTTTGGGTACAACCATACAAATGGCTTAAAACGTTTAAGTGTAAACAAAATAATTTAATTTTATTTTTGGAGAAGTTATCAAGAAATATATATATTGGTTTCATTTTATAGGCCACCATGGTACTTTCAAATAAATGTAAGGTAGATGTAATAGGCACAAATTCGTGAACTCAACTTAGTCGACTTATGGACCTTTCCCCGAGCATCGACTTCCTTGTTTACTTCGTGACATTGGCCAATCAGCAAATTGCAAAAAGTGACGTAACAATGCTCCCTTTTCCCATCCGCTCAGACACTTTTCTCACTCAGACAGATTTTCAAGCGTGGTCGTAAACATTACCTCTTTTTCGCACTTTTGAACTCTATTCGTTAGTTTTCAGTTATGTTTTGGAAACTTAAATGTAAATCAGATAATTCAATGGTCACCCTGTCTTCCTAGGAGTTTTAATTTAATTGCAGTAATAAAAATTAGTGTAGAAATAGCTGTGATAGATTAGGCTATAAATTTTTAACGGTACTTTTAAAAAACAGGTTGTTGTATGCGATGAATCATAATGATGGTTTGAAACACATACCCCATTTCACAGGCGCCAATTTGCAAAAGCACTCTTAAAATAGCCCCGAAAATTTTGCAATGGTAAACTATAGGAAGAATTTTTCGGGGGTCAAAGGTCGGGGAAAGGTCCATTGAAGAAATAATTTACAAATGACATTTAATGTGACACTTGTTGTTGCATCACGATCACGCTGGATACGTTTTCGACATCACTAAATGGAAACATTTTCTAAATGGGACACTGTATGACACCAAGATTGAAACAATATATATGATAAAACATAAGCGATTATATGGTACACTAATGTGTCGCGGCACGATGGATGAGAACCACTGCTCTACAGTCTATACCAGGGATGGCGAACCTTTTTCAATGAATGGGTCAAAAATTATAAATTTATCGCAGAACAGAAGAGAGTGGGTCACAGATATTTAATTCACGTTTGTATCTATAAGATACTTATGAAACAAATCTTATAAGCTGGTGTTGGTATAGTTTTCGGCTTTACTTATGCAGCACTTCTATCAGGGACTTTTCATGGCACTCGGTTTTATGATATTAGAGTACGAAAACACGCACATAAATTACCAGAAACGTTTGGGATGATGCGTTAAATTATTTTACGGTTCTAGTGTTTGGAGGTATTTCCGCTTTGATAGTGTTATAATTTTCGATCAGTTTCCAACCACATTAAGCCACTTTTACACTGCCCCATTGTTATATCAGATTTCTAGATTTTTATTTCAAGTCTGAAAGTTTTTGTTTTCACAACGGCATTGTAGACGAGAAACTAATAAAATGCAAAGTAGCATTTAGTTCTCGTATTACCCCTAAAACAGTCTGCAGATGCACTCCCAAAAAAGACAGGCGTTGCGAGAAATGAACAGATCAATTGCATTGTTATGTCATAAACGATGTCAGGCCCAATAGCTGAATAACGGTACACAGCGGCGCATACATGCGTACAAGATTAGGGGTTTTGAAAATTACCATACCGGCCCGAAAATCAACTATTTAAACATGAGCGATCGCAGCCCTTCCTGACTGTCCAACTGACGGTACATTATAATAGTTTAGTTATTGTTAAATTAATTTAAGGCCGGTTTTATCAATTTTTATCACTGATATGTTAGCAATTTTTTCATTTTATTCGTGCCTTCGCTTGGCGGGTCACAAATAAAACGCGGTGGGTCACTTTGTGACCCGCGGGTCAGGGGTTCGCCATCCCTGGTCTATACAATCTTAAATCATGATGTTTGCGCTTAATGATACATACGACTACCGGCTCTCGTGGTAACAGCTAATCCTTCATAATATGAGAAATGTGTTGGCGACTACAACAACATTGAAATTGAAAATCGACATCTAGCCTCTTCTCAGCTCAGCTCCAATTAAAGTGTATTTCTTTATGCTCTGTCGCTTCGAGCACTTGTTGATTTTGAAAGAAAAGCAACTAACAAAATGGCAGACAAGAACGAATACCCAATCGATATCTGATTCATATAATACAAATAGTATGACGCCTATTTTCTACGTCACATATTTTAATAGAACCATATGCCAAAGATACAATTTTAAATTTGATACTTTAATGGACATCAGCAAAATGTGCCTCATATGACCAAACGACCTTTCCAGCATTGCACAAAACTTTACGTTAGAACAATGAAAATGAATACAGCATAGTATTTTTCTAGTTAGTCTTGTAACCATATTTCGTTTTTTCTGTATCTAACAGTGTTCATATTAATGAACACCTCTTAATTAAATGATGTATTTCTACGAATTTATACAACAAAGATGCATTTGCAATTAAAGTTATATATTGAAAATTATCGACAATATTAATATTTCTTTGTAACGAGAAAATTTGTTTTAATCTTTGCCACCCGTTTTCATCCCCTTGGCGGTAATTCTAGTATCCATACGGGACATCTTGACCGTAATTCTGGTTTCCATACTGACCACCTTGACCGTAATTCTGGTTTCTATACTGACCACCTTGACCGTAATTCTGGTTTCCATACTGACCACCTTGACCGTAATTCTGGTTTCCATACGGGCCTCTTTGCTGCATTGGACCAGAGCCATAGTTGTTTTGGTAATCGTTGCCGTAATCAGGGCCAGATTGCAACCCACGTTGGTTTCGGTTCCAGGGTTTTCTTCCACCATATTGTCTGAATCCATATCCCATTCTTCCTCCTCTTCCATATCCATATTCGCGATCAGGGGTAGCATAGTCGTCCTCACCATAATAACTTCCTTGATCTCTGTTTCCATCACAGGGCTCCTGTCCTTGTTTCATGGCTTGCTCGGCCAATTTCTTAAGAGAGCAACCCTCCTTTATATCATCGCCTGACATGAGCATAAGACCAATGGTCATCAACTCTTCCACGGATGCCTCTTCCATCAAATCTTTTCCTTTTTTCATTAATTGCTCAGCATTTTCAGCGATAAGTTCCATGAACTTTTCTACCTTCATAAGCATATCGGCATTCTCTTTGACACTGAATGGCACATATATTAGAGAAAATATTGTTGTTGCAAAATCATCAAATCCCTCTCCGAACATATTGCTATCTTCAAAAAATTTTGTTATTTTTTCAATGTCGAGTTTTTCAATAATCGGTTTTAGGTACATGGGTGCGCTTGCATTCATTCCCCATATTGCCATCGTCACACGAATTCGATCTTCTTCACTGCTACACTCTGTGTTTGCATTGAATATCTTTTGAAGTTTGTAGGTCATTTGTTTTTTGAAATCGGCTTTGGTTACGTTTTTCTTTTTATAATCACCACTTGAAAGTTTCTTAAATACAGCTTCGATAACATACATAAGTTTTTCCTTTAGAATTTTCTTTCCCTCTTCGTCAGCATTTTCAGATTTTTCAATTCTTTCTTTGGCCATTTTCAAATATTCGAAACTTTTGTCCCCACCTTTAGACATCAGACACAAAGCGGCTCCAGTCATGAGTGCGCGTTCTTTGGCTTCCATCTGCAATTCTGCAATCCGTTCACCTAACATTTTAATCTTGTAAGTGTCAACTTGTCCTGCCATTTGTCCTTTCAAGAGTTCTTTTAGTTCGGCTGCCTTCTCCTTCAATTCATCTCTTGGCCCCATTCCCACATATTTTGCAAGGTATTTGAAATACATTGTATCTGGGTCTTCTGAATCTTGGTAGTCATCGCAGTTACATGGCTCACTTTGCTGTCTTCTGTAATATGGTTGTTCTCTAGCGCCCTCGCCCTCTCTAGCGCCATCGCAGCCTCTGCCTTCGCCATCGTATCCATCATCATTTCCCCATTTTTTGTAATATGCTTTCACTCGTTTGTTGTAGTCTTCCAACGTTTTCTTGTAGTTTTCAGCGATTTGTTGAACCATGCACGAAGAAGGACATTGCGATTTTTGTTCTGGAGCATAGTCCTTTCCTTCTTTCATGCAACCATCACCTTCGGCAAATCGTTTTGCAATATATTTGCCGACAACTAAAAATCGAATTTCAAATTTTTATTAATTTTAGATTATATCGTGTTGCTACTATTTTTGTTGTTGTATTTTTGTCAAAACGAAACAACGAACAATTTATGATATTATATCAAAATATTTCCATTTTCAATTTTAATACATATACAGTATAATATTTTAAAAACCAAGTAACGAAATCCAATTATTGAATAGCTTTTAATATAGATATTTTAAAAAGGCCAGTTGTCATTTTAGGGGTTGATTTATATTTTGAAACTCACATCCAGACATGTAATCAGTTTTGCATTTATCATTGGAAGAATAATATCCCATGTTTGAATCTGTTGCCAACATCGAGTAAACATTTTTCAACAGTTTATTGTCTTCTGTAGATAGAAAATAAAAATATATATTTAAGCATCATCTTACTTGTCAGGTGATTACGACGGGAAATGATTTTTATACACAGCCAAATTGAACTATCGAAACTGATCATTCGAATATCAAGTTACATTTCAATTTTGTATTTATCAGGTTACTGATTATCAGTGGTTTCCCATCAAGAAAGAGTCTTGTTCAAATCGAATATGTGGATCACTTCATATAAAATTATCCTCAACAGTTTGTCACGATGATTTGCATTGTTATTAAAGAAAAATGGAAGTTGATTTATATAAGATATAATGTATAATATTGCCGCTTTTAGACAATTGGTTTAAACTCTCGAATAATTATTCTAGAGCTAAGTAGGCACAATGTTCACAGTTAAAAAACGGTGCTCCTGAAGTATGTGCACCAAGATGTCGCATAACTTGGACCCTAACCTGGTACACAACCTGAGTTCAGGTTGTGCGCCATCTTGGTGCGCATACTTCAGGAGGTCCTAAAAACAATTGAAAGTCTCAATATATATATATACACGTTTTGTACAAATGACCATATGTTCCATCGTATACATAACAATTTTTCATTAGTGGTTGAACAGTGAATAAATAGCCTATTTGACTTACTAAAGTCGGAGTTGAAGTATACATCTACCACGTAACACCCATCCATAACGCCCAGGTCGCGTAATTGAACTGAGCCTTCCGACATATTGGTTTTCAACACGATCATCTTAGTGATCTGATCCCTAATAATACAACAAGTCAAGTTATATATTTGAACTGATACTTACGTTATGGTCGCTGCACATCATAATATACCGCATATTACAATCTCAGTGATGTCGGGACGTGACATCGAAAGACGTGACATCCACATCTTTAATTTAGGATATCAATGTACATAGTAAAATCCATATTGCTAGCTACAAGGTACTATTACTATTATCAAATTCGAGAAATCAAATGCTGGAATAATGTAACACAGAGAAAAATACCTAAATTTTATTCAAATTTTACGTTCGTACATATCAAAGATTTGAGTATGAATGGTGTTCAAGTTTCAACATCACTTTTGCGTAATTTTTTTGTGCTATGTATAGCCATCGGTATTTTTATTTTTTCATTTGGCTACAACAAAATAATGTGAAATCGTTTACGCACCTGTCAAATCCACTTGTGGCAGCATATTTGATTTTAAGCATCTTCAACCCTTTTGTTTCTCCCATTTTTATTTCCTTGCATACTCGAACGTCTCCGTTGATAAAAACCAATGTAGCTCCGATCTCTAAATAATTATATACATACACGTTTATAAACAAAAGATGAGAGATCGTCTCGAAAGATGGATTTAAAATGGTTTTCTAGTTTTGTGTTCACTATATGAATTTGGATGTCTACCAAATTCAGTCCCATTTCAATCCGCTTGCTAGCAGCCTTTGTTTACTTATTAAACAGGATTCTTATCGTGACGATGCGGTTTAATGGACAATGCTTGTCAATAACTGGAGCGACACTATTACAACATCGATAAAAGAGATTCATACCAGCGCGTATGGTAGACCCGAAGTTGAAAGGGCGGCAAATATTGACGTACTGACCAACCTAAAACCTGTATGATTGATTATGACGAATGTATGTGGACTTATGGAATGACGAGCTAAAACATTTTTCTATATTCCTGCATAGCGATTTCTCATAACCCGACACTAGTCGGTATATCAGTGTTCTTGACAAGGCAGTTTAAAAATCTGTTAAATATACTTGGCGATGTAGGAAACGGCACGCGGTGTCTACAGTGATGGCGGATCGACCTTAGGGTGTATCTTTGCAAAGTTTGGGAAACCATTTACCATGGTATAGATAGAAAAAAGAGCATCTTGTAAATCAGACATGCTTAAAAATATAAGCCCGTGATACCATTTTTTATTCCTCTACAAAATTGCTTCTATTTGTCGTAATCGCTAATGCGTAAACGCAAATTTGCATTCCTCATAGAAAAATCATCGAAATGTTCAACTGTGGGATTATTTCCGAACGGATTATATTACACGGTTTCATCATATTTTATAAATACTAACGTGAATTATAATACATACTTTCAAACAAGTTTCCGCCGTCCGGAATCATAATCTCAAGTATTTGGCCGTTCGTGGGAGCTGCAGCAGCATTTCTTCGACGGCGTGCACCGCCACCGTCCTCCGATGATCCAGCACTATCACCTTCCGGCACTGTGCCACCACTGCTGTCTCCTGGCATTGTTCCTTCACTGCCCTCTGGGGCCCTTGAGTAATAAAATGAGGGCGACAGTAAAGAAAAAATGATTTTGAGTAGTTTCTATTGAATGAATTGATTATTTTAAAATGTACATACATTGCAGAAATCTTTTCTTGTATCATTTTTGATAATTCCACATCACCTTCTTTCATTGTCCAATTTCCACATTGATCAACGGTCACGCTTTTTGTAAAGTACACTTTCATTGCTGCTGCAGCGGCCGCTAGATCCTGTTCACAGAACACGTTTAGGCATGTCGATAGTTTAAATTGGCAATGTCCTGGTGGGAAGTAACTATGAACTAAAAAACTGTCGTTAATCCTAACTTTCATGTCTGAATCCAATTGTAATTTTCTAATTTAATGATAAATATTTATCATGATATGAACTAACATGGTTCCATTACATTTGAACCCACGTACATTTGAACCCATGACAATTGCACCTGTATGCTATTGCACCTATGGGATTTTTTTTGTTTCACGGATAGTTAAACCCATACTAACCCTAACCCATGGGTTTTAGCACCCTCATATAGATTGAACCCGCGGATATACACATGGGTTCAAATGTACATGGGTTCAAATGTACGGTCACCAACTAACATATATATTAAATCGCAGTTAGGTTTGCTTGAGTTGTTATCTCTGTATGCGCTAAATTACTTACAATCAATGTTTTCATAGCATGGTATCTAGGATAAATAAAAAAATGTTTTTTCAGAAATTCTGCTGCACAAACTTCTTCATTCTCGTCCGATATGAAGTTGTACTTGATAAGCGAATGACATAGATTTTTTTGAATATTAGTGATGATTGAAGTAATGCTGGATTGATCAAATTGGATACTCACAAATTCAGAAAACCGTTAGTACATGAATCGCATGGTGTACCATATAAACCGTAGATAAATTCAATATAAAGGTGTTAAAGCTACAATACATGAATTCTATATTGATTACCACTTCACTTCCTTCCATTTTAATACGAATATTGACATCTTTTGACTCTTTGCCTTGTAAGAGATTTTGCATGAAGTATAAATTGAATTTGACAGTTCCATCAGGATTCTCGTACATCGCGCTAAGGGTAACTGAAGGTTCTGTTAATGAAAAACATTAATTATGGAAAAATAGGATATGGATTCTGTTAATACTTTCGGGCGTATTCCAATCTTTGACTCCGGATACCACGTTTCGAAATGTAATATTTATAAACGTTTTTGCATTTTCCAATTTTTCAAAAAATTGAACTTAAAATTGTAATTATGAATTGAAATATATTACGAAAATCTAATGTACGGATATAAATTATCTGACCAGAAATCGAGTTATGGCATGCATGCGCTGAAGGTTTGTGAATAATTTGCTATAAATCTATTTTATTCATCGACATTTTGAGTTACATTTGTAACTCATACTTTCCTCCCGTAATTAGAATTTCTTAGTGCTCTCAATGCGGATTGAATTTGGACTGTTATCGGGGCATACCCACGAACAACCAATAAATATATATATATACTGTATAGTTTGATTGTGTTTTCAATAATTTCAAGATTTTAAAATTCATACGCTATACGACATTTGCATTTCAAAATTTTAGACCTTTTTGAAATTTGCCACCGTTTACAAAATATTCGAATAACATCTTTACTCTACTAAGTTACTAAATTGCACAATATTTCCAAAATATCAAATCTTCTCGAACTATTTGTTGGAAATTCAAGTATATATAAGGGTAATTCAATTTACATGGGAATATTCTTCGGAAATTGTAAGGCTTACTTACACCTCATAATAAAACTAAAAAATTTAGCTCACTTTCATTTTCTTTTTCACCATCTTCGTTTCCACTGCAATAGCCAAGTTCAACATATGACAAAAGCATAATTGCCGCACAAATTGCAGTCAAGCTGCGCCACAACATTTTGCTAAAATTTGTTTAGTTAGTTCGGTCGAATACAAGACAAATTATCTGATAAAAAAAAACAGTATCAGGATTACGAACCAGAATAAATTATTGCACTAAACGAAGTTTTTGTAATTTTTTTGAGGTTTTTGTCAACTTCAACAGGAGGTGCTAACAATGTTGCCGCAGTATTTATATAATTTTGAGTTGAAAAGTAAAAATAGCTTACTCATGACAAAAGAGTATAAATCGCGTGATACATCGCTCCATTAAACTCCAAAAGCTTTCCATCATTTATTGGCACTTTCATTTCTCCTGAGCTACGTCATCAATTCAATATAGTTCAGCTATGTCGATACGTAGTTTGCTTTATATATGTATGTGTAATAAACCATCGTAATTCATAAAATTTATTCCGACGACTATCAAGTATAGAATTGAACAACCTAAATGGTCAAAATTTGATTTGTTAAAAAAAATGTATTTCTGTAAGTGAAAGTTATTTTGTAATATTAAGATAATTAGGCTATTCAAACGCATTTGCATTCAGAGGAAATTGGGTAAAATGCAATATTCTTTGTATCCTCGCCATTAATATGAACTGCAGATATATATAAAATACGGTTGCTAGCTCAAATAAATGCGAATATGCCCCGCCAATTCAATTCAATCAATTCATTGTTAACAACCCATAGAGTTGGGTTGGGCAAATTTATCCACAAAATTGCTTTCAGCACATGACAATCGAACAAAGGAAACCTAATATGTTGCCGGGACAACTAAGTTCATAATAACTGGTGTATACGGTTTATTATGTCTCCATAGCAACAACCCTGCTAAGCGAAAAAAATGAACTTCTATTCGAAATCTAGGCATGTCATCATGACTTGGACTTTTATTGAGAATCTACACATTACTTTGTGGACGTATAATGAATATGGTTTAAACTAGCAATAATGAAAATATATATAAAAGTTTCTGGGTCATGACAAATAAGTGGGTGGAAGCCCACCCATTATCATACTTGAATATAATTGAGAACATTTTTTTTCCTTCATATATATATCGTAATGGAAATATATTGCTACATGATTCAAAGATAATTTCGGGAATTCGATGTTTTTGTCTACCTATTGTCATGTGTGTTTTATTATTAATTATTGAGATGCCCTTGCTGCTTTTTTGTTACACTCGTATCGTTTTTTCAAGTCGTGACATATCATTTCATCACATGGAAAGGAATAGGCTTCTCGCTTGGTTGCCTTTGCTTAATCATTTAACATACATGGGGTTCGTTGGAATTGAATTAGAGTATAACGTCAATGTGGCTTTTGTGTCACGGTAGATCAACTAGTTACAAGTAGGTAGTGCGTAATGAAATCTGGTCGTCACACGCGACAGTCGCTTTTTCTAGAAGTCAATTCCAATAACATCACGCATCAATCACGTATTTTCAATAACAAGTTTTTCTGATTTTGTCCTTTCGTCGTGTACAAGTAGTCTGATATTTACCTTTTCAAGTTTATTAACTAAATATGCATCAGTATTTATTTGGGAAGTTCATAACTGTGACGCCACATCAATTTCGTAAAGATGTTTCCAACCACCATGAGAGCTGTTGTGCGCTTTTTTAAACTTGGTTTTGCACGTTTATTCCTAACAAAGTTTATGCTGAGACTCTGCTTAAAAGGCTATTGTTCTTTAAGTTGTCGTTCAAATTTATATCCCGTTATAAGCTGGGTGCAGGTTTGGCCAATCTGCAACCTTTATATATTTGATACTAAAAATGAATGGATATGCGATTATCGAGTAAAATTTTATTCATTAATTTTAGCAAGAAACTACACATATAAAATGTACAGGAAAACAACCAATAAAGTATATATATACACATATTCGGGAAAATCAACAAATCCTGCATCATGTGACTTTCATGTGCCGTCAGCAAGACCCAAAGTAACAAAAATGACCAAATTGACTTGTTTTATTTTGACCTTTTTATCGAGAATTTGAATTTGAAAATTTGAAAAATTACCAAAATAACTTGTTTTAATTGAAACCACTTTCAAAACATATATCTATTACTTATTTCACATATATCTCATGATTTCCACTCTTTTTATTGCCAAAACACTGCACATGAGAAATAAATTATTAATTCTAATTCTTGAAAATAACAACGAGGGAAGGGAAAACGAAATTTTGAGATATATATGTAATTTGTAAAATATGCACCTTACATTAATCTCATTTTTATTTCGTTCTTTTACTTTGTTAGGGCATATAGTTATGTTAAATATAAAAGCGCCAAACGATAAATTGTACTCAGACATTTGTCTAAACATTGGAAGGAAACAGGCTGTTTAAAATTGTATATGTATGAACAATGACATAAAAATGTATTTTACATATGCATAACTAATATAAGTTGTCTCCTCAGGGAACTATGTCGGTGTCTCCTCTCTTTCGTCTGACTATATATACAATGAGCGCAGCTATCAACATGATGAACAATACTCCACCAATTACTCCAAAAGCAATTGCAAGGTTTCTGTATATTGCTGCAAATATACAATAATATTAAACTTCGGTCAATTAAATTTTTGGCAATACGATGCACTTGTTGCTAAAATTGTTAAAATGGTAAATATTTTGAAAATGTTCTCAAATTAATTAGTTAAATTAAAAAAATAGATTGGACATATAAAAATTTTTTTACTCTTGATCACATTAAATGGTACATTTTACATTTACCATATGATCCAATTTTTTTTCAAAACTTTTGTTTCTAAGCGGTAAAAATACAAGTATTTTGGGGATTAAGTTGAGAAACTGTTTCCAGACCGACTCTTATACTCCACTTGGTTTTGTTTATAAGGCAGACACTTACGTGATTCCTCATCATCACATGTCGGTCCTTGGAAAGTAGATGGACATCTGGAAGAATTCACAAGGTATAAAAGGGAAAAATTAAGAAAACGAAAGCCATTTGAAATGTCTTGTTAAAATAGAGATACAGTATTGGAATATTGTCCATTATGTAGATAGTGTGATTTCGAAACGTCTGCACAAAGCATGTATTTTAACGGATATATACATGTGAAGACTTTTATTTTTATTTTTTAGGAAATATACAAATTACAAATGATGAAGTTAAAGATATTAAAAGAGTGAATATACTAGTGGTAGTAAATAGCAATGTGCATTTAAAACCGACTTGTAAATCTATGGTAATAACAATAAAAAGTTATTAGTGTAGTAAGTGTGCCGTTGTGCTCCTTATCTTATGACAAAAAATGAATCAAAAACAATTCCATTTACTTACAAACATGTTGGAGTATTGCTGTTATCAGTTGAAGGTACACACGTTCCACCATTATTGCAGTACGGTTTATCACATTGACCTGATATTGAATATATTCAGTTTAATAAATAAACTAAAAAGTATTTCTCGGGCCTATATCTGTACGTTATTTTATTGTGCGGTAATGCTGAAAAATTTTGACCAGAAAAATAAAGTAATACACTATAACAGCATAATGACAATCCATGTGTCGTGATATTTCATAATTTAATAACAAAAAGATAACAAATTATGCAAGGATTACTAACGAGCTCCATTTCTTTTTATCGGCTAGTTAAGATAATATCTATTTTTATTAACATTGCTGACAGTCTCTGTTAGCTAATACTTTACGGATATTGTTTAATAAAAAGTCAAGTCACATGTGAAAACTGCTAACAAAATGGACGTGTCGATAATGTAATATATTATCACTCACCCGTACACGACGCGTTGTCTGCAGATTCTGTTATGTAAAAAATCAAAAATGATTGAATTTAAAATATAAAGATCATAATTAGGTGGTAACAATTATACATGGAACTGTTTTCACTAATGAAATCTTACAGACGGTAATTAAAAGCTTTTTTATACTTTTGGCCACTCCTGGGGCACTCCCCATCCTTGACGAATGTAATTGGACATAGTCGTGTTTGAACTTCATATTAAACACAAAAGAGTTAAGTGAGTATGTTATATAATTTGTTGCTTTACGTCAAAAATATTAAAATTAAATGAAGTCATACTTATAATTTGAATTTTAAATCAATACAAAGAGACGTCTTTCTCATGTCTTTTTGTGCCGAAGAAAGATCAAAACTAAAATGAGTATCTTATTAATTTGTTTTAAATTGAACAACATAATTGCTCAAAACTCACTCATATATCCAGCAACACATTCACATTGGAACGACCCAGCATTATTAACACATCCAGAATTAGCAGAACAAGTTACAGTCAAACATTCATCAATATCGGAGCAAACAGTTCCATCTCCTTCATATCCAGTCTGACAAGAACAAGTATAGCTTCCTTCTGTATTGGTACATGTAGCTTGCCTAAAATATTTGATATCATATTTTCAAGTGCATACTGGTGAAATAACAAATGAAATCGTGTCACACATTGGAGAATTAGAAAATGAAGAATCCTCTACATATTATATTATCGACCTAAAAATAAATGTATTAATCCAAAACAAAAGGAAACGTCTTGCTCCAATAAAAGTCACATTTGAGAAAGTACATGCATTTCATTGCGTTCAAGAAATATATATATATGCTATATATTTTGCGATTTATGTATGCATATATTCCGAATTAAACACACAGTGTGCTTGGTGAATTTATTCCAAATGTATCAATAAGAAAATGATTCGTTCGACATACGTGTCACAAGAAGAAATTAAAGATGCACACTCATCTACATCAACGCAAACCATTCCATTCAAGATATATCCAGTATTACAACGACATTGTGGTATGTCATTTAATTCAATACAATATGATCCCGTATCACATTGCTGAGAACCGCAATTTTGTGCTAAAAATAAAAAATTCATGCTTTGAATTTTCTAAAATGAAAATAAATTAGGCATTTTCGTCCAAAACAATATACAATTTAAATACAAAAAGGAAAGCAAGGGAACCATTGTCCACATAAAAAATTGACTGATAAATATTGCTTTTATTAACATCCTGCATTACCTGGTACAAAAATTCGAAATGTTTGTGTGAATAACATAGAAATAAAAACAAAGATGGAATCGTGGGCAAAAATTTAATTTTCCAGCCATACTGCAGCAATAAGGTTAAACACATGATATAGAAATTCCGTTATATTTAAATGATATTGTCGTGCGTTAGTGCACACCAATAGATAAAATGTTATATGCTTTGCATCCTGTTTAATAGCAATGAATCAAGGGACTTACCAAGCAAAGGTGCGGAAGAAAATAGCGTCGTGTCACCTACATCGGATTGGTAATAAGATAGTATCGGCACAGTAACTGGCATTACAGTCTGTATTACATATCTGAGAATATAATATATAATTTCAGAAGATATTTAAATGGCATAGTACAAAATATTATATTTTTTAATACATAGAGAGCAGAATGCACAAAAAACTACACAAGTCGCTTTTTCGAACCAACGCAAAATCTGATGCTAGTTGAGTAGGGAAGTGAAAAATGAACAGAAAACAGACTCTTGGTCGTGACAGGTAAAACGCCCCTTCCGCTTTTCCTCTGGCGATCGCTAGTTGAGTAGAAAAGTGAGAAATGGACAAAAATCGGAAAACAGACCATTTGCCGTGAATAGTTAAACGCTCCACCCTATTTTGCTCTGGCGATGGCGTTTTCTATTCGCCTTTCAAATGATTGAAGATCACCAAGCGATCGCACGAATTAGTGAACTATTTAAAATACATTCTTATATTATATAGAACCAAAGTACTTACGCTGTTCTGATAGATGTACCAGGGCCATTCAAAAACACAACAGACACAAAAGTAAATCCGGGGAATTGCAACTCAACTTGTGCTTTAACTTCTGCTTCTAAATCAGGTCTATTTGTTGTTGCTCGAGATAATGCGGATGAATACTCATATTTTGTGATTGTTTGTTCAATGTATGCTTTCGTTATATTTCCTGAAAAAAAAAAAAAAATTAATACAGGTTGAAATGAAAGATATACGATTGGACGGTAATTATACCAACGCTACGACCTATCGGCTGGAATTTAAAAATAATGTTGGCAAAAAAAAGGATTAAAACCTAACATAATATTAAAATTGTAATAGTTTATTAATTTCTTTATTTATATTAAACAGCAAAAACACGCCAGTTTGCTTATTTTATGAATGGCGTAATGTTCAAGCTTCAAAAAACTGTCGAACAATTTTATATACAGTATGACTGCAATTCCCAAAAGGTGCACCGCGGCGATTTGCTGAGTGTGCCCCGAAAATGAACAGAATTGTGTTAAACATAACTAATATATGATTGAATATTTTACCTATTGTTTTTATCGTTTTCTATTTCAAATGCTGTGTATATGAATCAATAAATTCATTTTACCTATCTATGTCTTTAATTTCTGTTACATAGTGTCTGCCTATATTGTTACGTAACAATATAGAAGTACACTGTTTTGCTGCAATTTTGCGAGTTGCAGATTATTTATCCGCTAAACCGAGTTTAGCAAACATGAGTGATTTTTAAAGTATCTCAAAGAAAAGATGACAAAGAGTTGAATTTTTGCCTTTAGTCTTTAGGCCTACATGTTTACAATGTTTACAAGGCATAGAGTACACATTAACGATCACAAAATTGAGTTTTATTTATAAAGGTAGCATTTTTTTCGTGCAAGTGCGACGTGAGTTGTTTCCCTGATAATTTGGCGCCGCACGTACAAAAAGTTTGGGAACCGCTGCTCTATAAATTACCCTGAGCACTGGTCCATGTACTGTTAGAGCCATTGATTGTCCACAAAACTTATCATTTTTCTTCGGGTAAGTGTGTCACGAGTTTTTTTTTTTGGTAATTTTGGCGGCGCACGAATAAAAAGTTTGAGAACCGCTGCTTTATAATTTATCCGCAGTCGCGGGATACGCACTGTTAAGGCCATTGATTGCTCACAAAAAATCAGCATATTACTAACATATAAATGAATAGCTACTCAACATAATTATAATGAAACCTTTTTCGTTACGCAAGTGTTGCTATTTTTCTTCTAGCGCACGGGTCGGCAACCTTTAGCATTGAAAGAGCCATTTGGTATTCTTTCCGACATTCTACTCTAATGTCAGTGTCTCAGTGAACATTAAAATTTTCGAAAAAAAACCCTTTGTAGGCAAATGAAATACGAATGATGCAATAATTCAGTCTATGACGAGATGAAAATAACTTGTGTAATGAAAAAAAAAAAAATTCTGACATACTTGAACCACCTTAACGCGACCCATTTTTACCGCTTGCAACTTGTAATTTGGGAACCGCTGTGATGTGTAATTAGTGAGGAGTATTTGCCTTTTATTGAATCCTCACTATTTCTAACAAAAAACTGCTGTAACCACTTTGATTCACGGTTCCGAGAACAAAGAGCCGCAATCGCTGTTCTAGCGGCTATTGCGATGCCTTCGGGTGAAATTGAATAAAAAAGAAATGTCATGTTATACCTGTGCAAGTCACACCATTCCCAGCATAATATTGTTTGCAACTACAACTAAAAGATCCAATTGTGTTTGCGCAATCCGCATTTGCATCACAATTATCGGTTTCTAACGAGCATTCATTCAAATCATCACAGTTAGTTCCACTGAATCCAGGTTGACAGTTACATGAATAACTTCCATCATTATCAGCACAAACACGATCGCTTGCACACGGATTTGGTGTTAACTGGCATTCATTCACGTTCACGCATTTTGAGGCTGAAATAGAAATACTCAATATTTTCATTTTTTCAGACTCCAAAAATTCTTTCTTTTAAGGATACTTTCTATAAATGTATTGCACAATAACCGGTATGGCGTATAAGTCAATATACATTACACTCACCATTTAGATAATATCCCTCCGTGCAATTGCACGAATAGAATCCCATCGAATTTACACATTTCGTGTTGTTAAACGAAGCACAAGGATTTGGAGATTGAAGGCATTCATCAACATCCACACAGACCTGTGAAGTATATTTTGATGTATTCAGTCAAATGTTGAAAAATTGGTTATTCAATAAAATATTGACAGGCTAAGAATTAATTTCAACACTTAAGTCTTCTAATATTTGTTATGTATAAAATCGCTTTCCGCAAAAGATCTTTTCGGTACAGTGCATACTCAAATCAATTACTTAGCCTTCCAAATAATATCTCTTTTTTACACTATTTTGATAGAGGTGAGGTGCAAAGAATTTTTCGGGTCATTTTCAATTTATAAAATGTTTGAAGACCGCCCAATCGTTGGATGTATTTTAACGATACTGTTTACAAATAATGACTGTCGATTAAAACTATATCGAGCAGCGCAAGTAATGAATTGAGATTTGTCAGAATCATGGAGTTAGATATATATTGTAGACATTCGATCCCAATTAACATCCTCGTGGAAAACTCGAGGTAATACAATAGAATCATTTCACTCAAAAAGATCGGCAGCTATTCATCATTTATTTCGTGAAGTGATGTCTTAGATTGTAAGCAGTTTGCGAATTTCGAACTTTTAGAAATGTATCATTAATAAAAATGGTCGGTTATGGTGAAAACCTCAAATTGATAATTTTGATATTTTTCGATATGCACAACATAGAAGATTTCTTACATAAGCTATTATATACTTTAAACATAATATCTAACATAGTACCAACTATTATTATTCGCTTACATTATCACTTCCACTGAATCCAGATTTGCAGTCACACCTGAACGTTCCTATTTCATTTACACAATTAGCTCTGTCAGAGCAAACATTTTCGTTCGATGTACATTCATCAATATCATCACATGATCCAGCATTGTCATAGTAACCTGTCATGTATATTCATACGCAATCAGCACTAGTATGTTTAAATGTAGTAATTTTCTTAAATTTCAGGTTGGTCTCTCTTTTGACGCTTTAGGTTCATACAAATCCTTACCTACAACATCTAGTCCAATATAATTACAACTAAGTACGAAGCTCGTACGTAAGGTATTTGCAAAAAGCTCTGATATGTAAAAAAGTGCCGCTTTCGCAAAATGTCGTGATGAAAGCACGATAATTGATTTTTTTCAACCTAAATAACACGTTATTGATGTTCAAGAACAAAATCCCATTATACCATCAAATACCAGCTCCGCTTTATGATAATATTCAAGTTCAAGTTTGAACTTTTGAATAGTTTGAAATGAATGAGTACTTGTATAAAAATTTGCTTCACCATTTGCCACCATAGTCAAACAATACTAAAACTTCAAATTATACAAAAAAATTTCAACATGATAAAATATTACCTGAGTTACAAGTGCAATAATATGATCCAATACTATTGCTACAGACACCATTTGGCTGGCAGTTATTTGTGGAAGCACATTCATCCACATCGACGCAGGATGTCGATACATCTCCACTGAAATAAACCAACAATATTAGTGGATTTGTTTAAACAGTTGAAGTTGTATATGAGGAATAAATTCACAAATCCATATGAACGTTCATTAGGAGGCGCTCCAGAAGTGTGTGTACCAATGTAGAGGTAACTAATTTTGTTCGCCTATTTTACATCAAATTGTGTAAAGGGACTGAAGCCTATGGGCAGGGGTACACAGACAATCCCCGAACTCGTAATAGAACTAAAATAAGGAAAATTGTAATAAAATTATGACCTAACCCTAACCTGGTACACACACTACAGGAGTACCCATTTGGATAACATAAAATTGAACAAATCAAATGAGAAGAGAATTTTTACACATTTCCCGACAGTGGTGATGTGATGTAACAGCGTTGCAATGTTTAGACTTAATTTTATGTTAACCAGCAATCTAAGATTTGTGGTATACTAGTGAACTCTCATATTAACAAAGTGGAAAGGAGTTGTAACAGAATAGTCTCATTTTAGTAAAAATGAAAGATACTTACACAAATCCTACTTTACAAGAACAAAAATAGCCAGGAACCGTGTTGGTGCAGGTTTCATTTGCCCTGCAGATAGTCGCATTAGACAGACACTCGTCAAAGTCATTGCAGTAAATGCCGTCGCCTGTGAATCCAGCATTGCAAATACATGAATAATTTCCAACACTATTAGTGCACGTTGCCGCTGAATGACAAGGGTTAGTTGCACATTCGTCTTGATCAATACAATTGGTGCTTCCTAGATTTTCAACATAACCAGTTTTGCATGGACAAGTGTAGGAGCCATCATTATTTGTACATGTTTGATTCTTGGAACAAATTTCTGGATTGTTTTCACATTCATTTTGATCTGAACATGATGTGCCATCACCGGTGTAACCAATGCGACATGTACAGGAGTAACTTCCTGGCAAGTTGGTACAGTTTGCATTCATATCGCATGAACTGGCAATCGCACATTCATCATTGTCCACACACGTTGTCCCATTGTAGATATACCCTGATGTACAATTGCACATGAAGCTTCCTTCTGTATTGGTACATGTACTTGCTCCACTACATGCAGAAGGGCATTCATCAATGTCAGAACAAGCAGTACCATTGCCTGTATAACCAGTATTACATGTGCACATATACGAACCAGGTTGATTAGTACATATTGCATTTGCATGACACACATTTGCTTCATCACACTCATTGATATCCGCACAAGTTAGGCCTGTAAATATTAAATTTTGTTTTGAATAAATTTGTTATATAATTTGTATTAATCATAATGTGATTGCTTATAGTTTTGCAGTGTTTCCTACCATTTCCAGAGTATCCACCAGAACAAGTGCAAGTATATGATGCTTCTGTGTTTGTACAAGTTGCATTTGTATCACATGGACTTGGAGAATTGATGCATTCGTTCAAATCTGGAAATAATTTAGATGATTATTAGCAATGTTATGATGAAGACTACGACAATATCTTATAATCAAATGTATAAGCCTGCATAACAGTCCGATTTTTAAACTACGCTTATTTAAACTGTAATTCAAATTGGTTTGACCAAACAGTGATTGATACCTACTTGTTGTCAAACCATTTGTCGAAAAAGTAGTTTTATCTGCAGTCGATGATTCAAATGCGTTTACAATAGCATCTCCTGTACCAGTTGGTGATGAAATGGTAACATTCACTCTAGGAAATAAATAGCATCTTAGTTTATGGGATCACATTTTCTAAAACTATATGAAATAAAATAAATATTTCTAGCTAACCTTGCTACCACACTTCCTTGCAGAAATTCATTGATCTTAACTTGAACAAATCCACTAACATTCGATAAAATCATGGCAAGCCTACTTTCAACGACAGATTGCAGAAGAATAAATTCTAATGACGATTGGTTTCCAAGATTGGCGGAATACGTATATGAAGTGTTCAGTGTTATTTCGAGCTGGAATACTTTTACATCAGCTGAAAATATACATAAACGGTAGTGCTTCTATGACCAAAAATTGTTAATCTAGTTTTGTTATAATCAACTGTATTAATTTATGCTTTCCGTACTGAGATATATAAAATATTCGATTAAAATGAATCGAAATATTAACGACAATTTGCGAGATTTGAGGCAATTACACATTTGAATTGATAATGCATTGATGACTCAGTCATAAGTACGGTGTTTATATTGAAGACTTCATACCAAGACAATACTTGAGAAAACTTGTATGATATATTGTTGTGTTAAACAGTGTTTATAATACTGATGAAACTCACAGTAGAAAAAAGACAACAAATACTAATTAAATTCAATGCCTTAAACTGATTGACTTCCAAAATAGGAAATGATAATTTTGCAATATGTTTTAATTTACTTAATAATACAACAAACCTGCTAAAATTGTATCAAGAGTAGCCGCAGGTCCCAACATTGCATCACTATTTATTGCTCTAATAGAAAAGTTATAAACAGATCCAAGTACTGTTGGTATGAGTTGGGGTGATGTTGTATAATTATAGGATAATGATCCAGTAGGCGTTGTTGCTGTGATTTGATAACTTATTGCACCAGATACTTCTGTCCAACTAAGAGTTATTCCTTCGTTCTGTGTATTGCTTGATACAGCAAAGTTGGTTGGAGCCACTGCCACTGTAAATGGGTTCAAATGTAAACTGTAAATTGAACTCAATATGTACATAATAATTATTCAAAAAAAAAATGAAAGCTTAATATATTTTTGGCAACTTACAAGTTGTTGCTGAGACGGCTGTACTTCCTGAACTTCTTCCAACAGTTTTATAATTAACAAAGACAGTGATTGAATAAGTTGTTCCTGGACTTAATCCATCAATTGAAGATGAATTTGTTGACGTGGAAATGGTCTTTGAACCTAAATCAATAACAATATTAAATGAATAACGAAATATCAAGACTCTTATTATTAACCTGTACCACAAAGATATAATATAATAATTACAAGACTGGATAGGATTTTGAAATTAATATTCAAAAATCAGACATTTCCGACAAAACTTGCTCGCGTTAAATCTTTTGGGTGTGACCTCCCCATTTTTTATACTAAAAAATTAATAAAAATCTACCATGTCTCAATTAACATATACATAGGTTATATTTACCAGGTTCGACTACTATATCAAAATTATCTCTATCTTGAACATCTGGGAATGAAACCGTGAAGTCTGTCGTTGTAATATCAAAAATTGTAACTTCGGGACCGGAGTTGATTACTGAAACATAACGTACAATGTCATCTGGTGCACTGTTCATTTTAATAGTAGTAACATTCCAGCTGATACAGATAAAATATTGTCAATTTTGACTGATTTTAACTTATTAAGAATGACCTATTAAGTTCTAGTTTGGGTCACGCCCTTAGTGACGAAATACAGTTTCTGAAAAATAAATAGTAAACACTTAACAACTGCATTATGACCTATAGACCACATCTATACGATGTCATTTGTTAGAGAGAAACACTCTAAATCAGAAATACATAGGGATTAGGAACGTTGAAGCAGCAATGCATTGTTATGCAGCTTGATCTTGTTTTGAGCTGCATTAGATTCATTAAGAGCATATATGTATGTTTGGATTTGTTTAAAAAGTGTTAGAAACGTGAATGAAGGTTGAATTCAATCATTGTAGAGCGATTGTTACTCACCTGTTGAGTACAGCATCACTGTATCATTGGATCCAGCATTGTTGACTGAACTTATTGTAACAGAATAAACTGTTCCAGGTTGCAAGTCCAAAATTTTATTCGAAGTATCGGTAGTGGTAATTTCAGTTGCATTAGTGTCCGAAGCCATCATGTATGATATACGATAGTTGTTTACACCGATGATTGGGTCCCAGGTAAACGTAAGTGAATTCGAAGTTCGATTGCTAAGTTTCACGACTGGAGCATCAGCAACTATATTTAAGCATAAGAATGAATACATGCATGAATTAGAGAAGATTTCTGTCGTGTTCAAGTTTCTATGCGTTCACTTTATGTTATTAATGTTTAGTTGAAATTCCGTTTGCTTAATTAATTTATTAAAAGAGAGTGGAATGAGTACCTCACCCTGAAACAACAATAAAAAACATATGATTTGCTGCAAAGTGCGTGTAAGTAAATTGGATTCGATAATGATATGTTTTAAATATAAATATGAAACTTTACGCAATTATAGGATTGAGCTTTAAATGTCGGATTCATGGTAATTTTCAGCGTTTCCCGCATATGACATCAACTCCAAGAGAGTTGCGTCGATCAACAAAGAGTCTTATTAAATAAAACCAATGCATAAAAACAATAAAAATATAGTTTAAAATTATTTTTCAAAGCAAGCTTAAAATTACCCTCAGCGAAATCACCGACACTCCTTCAATGTCATGCATGAATTTAGACTTTAAAAACACCACAATAAATAAATAAACTAGATTGGGTACTTCAGCGAAAGAATTTTAAAACATTCAATATTTTCTCCAAGCACATATTAAATAAACAAGTGCTTAGGTCGTCTATGTAGAAAAATACTGCCGTAAAATGCGTTATCGATGTTTATGTATACCTGTTATTTGAATCATTATATTTTCTATACTATCTGTAAGTTGACCGCGAGTTATCATTGAAATAGTATAATTTGTTCCAGCTGAAAGTTTTGTGATTGTTGCTGTTGTTCCTCGGAAAAATGATGTTGGAAGAGAGATTGCTACATTATCACTTGTACGTTTCACTGCAACACTGTATCCCAATGCACCAGAAAGAGAAGTCCACACCAGTTTAAACGAAGTCGTTGAAATTTCAGTCACAGAGAACTCGGGACTTGCAGGTCCTGTAAAGAAACACATTTTGTTGTTTAATAGATTTACGATTAACATAATATTCAGATAAAGATTCTGTGTTAATCATGTCAACCTATGCCTCAACATTTATTTTGTATACAGAGGAATCCTGCTATGATTTGATAAAAACTCCAATGTCAATTAAGGAAGTGATTTCCAACTGGTGTTCCCTGGAACACTGGTGTTCTGTAAAAAACCTCCAAGTGTCTCGTGTCAAATTACTGCCTAAATTATTTTCTGATTGGCATAAGTTTGCCAACGATATCACAACGTGTACTTCGCGGTATATCAATTACTCTTATTGTGGTGGGTAGATATTTGAAAATAAAAAAGGAAAAGAAAAACGATTATTTCTGAAAAATCGGAAATTCTCATTTGGTGTTCCGCAATAATTGTGATATAAAAAGTTTTCCGCGGGTATCAAGGCATTCCATCTTCATTATGTTTAAAATTTGAAAACAACCTAATAAATGCATTTCGTTAATGTAATAAATTTTAACACATTTGATATTTGATGGATTCGATTTTGTTAAACTGCTTTAATTTTGAGAATTATTGGAATTCTTCTAATACAAAGAACTTTACGTGTTGTCAATGTTCCACTGATGAGAGAACTGCTTCCAAAACTGTTGATAGCTTTGATTTGAATAATATACGTTGTTCCACTAGCCAGTCCAGTTACTGTTGTGCTCGTTGTCGTCACATTGACTGTTTTCATTATCATTCCGGATTCACTGAATGAGTGAATTTAATGGGATAAGAGTTTATATCAAAGCACTCAACTGGTATTACTCTGTCAAACAGTAACAAGATATGGTATAAAATTGGCGGTAACCATTTCAATATTTCAGATAGAAGTGAATTGACAAAAATGCTATGATCAGTATTTATGTGGGTCACTTTGTAGTTGCAAGATCCTCTCGCCCATAATCATCCATACAAAACTGGAATCTACGACCTGTCACATTAGCTAGTCAATGAATAACAAAGGAAATAAGTTACTTATAACATTACATAAATAGGAATATTACAAGCTGTTAATTAAGCTGACCAGATTAACTCAATTTTATTTTTATTTTTATTAACAAACAGGGTGTCTCAAAAGTAAGTATACACTTTCAATTTTAATTTGCTTTTCAGGTGCTCATCATAGAGCATTCATTTCTTCAGGAAACATAGTATGGATAAGTAGTAAAATTTAGGTATTGTTTGCATTTTTCAACAACCCACAGAATGACAAGGAATTAACCCAAGAAATGAGGAGCAAACTTGCTGTTCGGCAAAAAGCATGTAAATCAATAAGGCAAACCCAGCGCTTCGTTAACAGAAAATTTGAAATTATTTCAGCTTCGATTATTTTTCTCCGAGCTTCCGCTTCTTGGCCTTCCTGATCTTTGTGCATCAACTACAGATCCAATTTCCATGAATTTTTGAAGAATTTCGTAATTCGTCGTCGTAAAAATGCAGAATGCTTACTGTTTTATATGCTTCTTGCCAAACAGCAATTTTTCAACTCATTTCTCGGGGTAATTTCCATGTCATTCTGTGGGTTATTGAATAATGCAAACAATACCTAAATTTGACGACTTATCCATACTATGTTTTCTGAAGAAATGAACGCTCTATGATGAGTACCTGAAAATCAAACCAAAATTAAAAGTGTATACTTACTTTTGAGACACCCTGTATATCCTAAGCACTTCGCAATGAATTAATTGGTTTTTAAAATAAAGTATACAGTAATACATACAGTTGGCATGCATGACACTGTTGAAAACATTTATATATCTTTTCAACTTCTACGATATAATTATAGCACGTCGGGAATCTTACTCAAGAACTTTAACTTCATAGATATCGGCTCCCGAAGCATCAGGCGTCCACCCAAATGTTAATGTTGTCTCTGTAGTGCTGATTTCTGTAGGTTTGCTTGGATCCACTGGAGCTTTAAAAGAAAGTTATTGAGGGTTTATTATATATAAAAAAGAAAGATTGTAATATATACAAAAAAGTTGTAAATACCTGTCCTAAATTCATATTTTGTTTCAGCACTGGTTTGCCGTATTCCATCAGTAAATGAAGTTTTTGCAGTTACTGATGCCGTGTAATCAGTACCAGCCGTTACGCCATCAGTTGAGTCAAAATCTGCAAACCCATCTCTGAATTAGAAAAAGATAATTTGGTTGAACAAATAGTAATAAACATGTTTCGACAAGAAATCTCTAAATTCACTATCAGAGCTTTATAAAAACTTACAATTGCCTTTGGTGAGAGCAATAACTTGAAAGTTTGAAACCAAATATTTTTTTATCTAAATGACACCACTCTAACCACATGTTGTTCGCGTGCGCCAAGAGGTTGAAAGCTCGATTCGACATTCTAAGAAAACTAACATTCGCAATAGAGTATGTATACAAGATTACGTTACTATTAAGTATGATACATACGAGACAGTTTTAGTCATTGGACTCCCACTTCCATCAGTACGCATAACTGTAACAAAATATGCTGCTGCTCCTGTAACTGTTGTCCATTGCAACCTGAAACTTGTCGTTTGAGACGATCCATCTCTCAGTGCAAGATCCGAAACTTGGCCAGGAACTATTTTATAGATATAAAACAAAAGTATGTACTGTTTTCAAAAGTTATGACTTGATATGGTACATTAAATGATTATTGACTTTTATAAATATACTTTTATTTGAATGTTTTTAACTAGGTAGCTTAGATTCTTTGTTCCAGAAGAAATGTATCAGAGTATGAAGCAATAGTATAGGGAGAACAGTTATATTTTCCAAATTCTTGTTGATGAAATTTTCCGAACATATCAGACATGACAATCAATTTGGTTGAATATACTTCATAAAGAATTTGAGACTGAAACAAACACATGTGTTTACCTGTTATCTGGTCAACTGCTCTGCTAGCTACACTGAATCCACCATTATTTCGGGCACGAATTGTAATTGTGTAAACATATCCTGCTGTTAAGCCAATGAACGATTGCATAGTGGTTGTCGATGTTTTGTTTTGAGAGGGTCCATCAGGTGTTTTTTGTTTTAATATAACTTCATAACTAGTTGCACTTTTGGAAGAATTCCATGTAATCTGCATGCCGCTCATAGTTATACTATCTGCAACTATGTTAGTCGGAGAAGGTGGGGCTAAGAGAAAATATAAAAAGCTAAATAATACGTAATTTCAGAATAAAATTTGTCTATTAAAAGTCTAAAATTTTTCAGAAAAAATTGACAATTCGCAAACAAATATTTTGACAATTTATTCTGGTAATGAAATATTATTTATTTATTTAGTTAGAAATAAAATTGACAACATAATACACTTAATGTAATACCTGTTATAAACGAGATTGTAATTGATGATCCATTTTGCACGACTCCAATGGCTTTAGACACTGCGTATATGGTAGCATTGTAATTTTCGCCATCTTCTATCCCCGATATTCCATTCCATGGACTAGCACTATAAACCAAAATAATTTCAGCTGTTCTCTTTCTAATCTTATCATATTTATCTTTTACAACCAATGACAATAATTTGTAAGATTCATTAAGTTACTATACCCAACGATTCACGTTATCCTCACGTTTTTTTTTTAGTTTTTTATGAGAGAAATAACGTCAACTCACGTTATGGAATCCGTCATGATTTCTGTTCCATCTTTTATTATCGAAATTTCATAACTTGCTGCACCAGTGGTTCCTGTCCATGTGAAAGGTATTGATCGTTGTTCGACATTTGCATAATCAACTTGAAAATTTTGAACTTCTCTCGGAACTGATAATAAGACAAAAATCGATAAATAGAATACTTGAATTCAAGTTGTATTTCCTTGGTATCGATAATAAGATTTTTATTTTTATCCACGATCAATGGTATAGTGGTATAAAGTATAAACGTATACTATTTAAATAAAACATCTTTCCAGGGCCTCCATAAATGGAGTCTCAAAAATATCACGTCCCACTTGTTCAACGCTTGTTCTACACAGGTCCCTTTTTTTTAGCACCCTTTGATACACTCTTTTAACAAGTTGCAACTAGTGGCATACCATTGAAAAATTTTTTAAATAGCAAATACGCTATTGTGCTGTAATAATATTCAATGTACCGGTTATTTGACTTAGGGTTACGCTTTTTGTACTGTTTCCTCCAGAATTTTCAGCCATGATAATAAAATCATATTCGTATCCAGGTTGCAAATCATTAATTGTTAAACTTGCGCCGACCACAGACTGAATTGTAGGGAAAGCTTTTATTGGAGCCTTTTGCGTTGTTCGCACGTAGTAGGTTTTCGCTGCACTCGATTCACTCCATGACATTGTAATGCTAGTTGCTGTAGCAGAAACATATGAGAGCGATGGTGCAAATGGAGCTGGAATAAAATTGAGAGGACATTTATAACTGTATTTAACATTTATAACTTAAAATACATCATCTACATCTCTGCAAACGATATACACGAAGAATACAATTAAAATCATAATGTTGTGTAACGATTTCAGTAGAAAAATTTGCACGCGAATCTGTCTGTGGGCTCCAGAAGTGTGTGTACCAATATGGAGGTAACTAATTTAGTTCGCCTACTTTACATCAAGTTGTGTAAAGGGACTGAGACCTAAGGGGTATATTCACTTGGCGAACACAGACATTCCCCACACTCGTAATGGGACTAAAGTAAGGAAAATCGGAATAAAAGTATGTCCTAACCTAACCTGGTACACACACTATGGGGGCACCGTTTGTATTCAGTCAATGAATCAATGAAGGCAAAGCGACTGAAAGAACTGGGAAAGTGTTTACCTGATATTTGTGATGCGTTTTCAGTGCTAAATGAACTCTCTCCTGCTTCGTAGGTACATTTTACATATGCTTGATATGTAGTTGCAGTTTCAAGGCCGCAAAGGAGAGCAGAGTTACTTGTTGAGTTCGCAGTCACAATCTGCAAGAATATGATATTTCATTTCGCAAGGTACATTTGTTATATACAGATATATGGGCTGTCTAGTCTTAAGAGTATTTGTTTTTTATGAGGAATACTGAATGTGACAGTGGTTCCAAAGTCGATTGACCGGGGGCCCGATTAGAAGCGGAAGGATGCCCGCGTGCCGGGAAAGGGAAGCGCCCTTTAGATAGATAGTAAAAACATAAAGTGGTAAACTATTTCACCTATGTTCGGCGGGCCATAGTAAATTGTTACGCGGGCCGTAATTGGCCCATGGACCGCGGTCTGGGAACCACTGGTCTAAAACAACAACAATGCATTAAAACAAGTTTTCAGATATTATTGTAACTGGTCGTTCGATATCCTACTGGAAATCACTCACATTTGTTGAACTATTTTCAAGTTTTGCAGTGTATGAGATTGCTGATGATATTGTAGTCCATGATACAGTAAAACAAGTTTGATTGTGTACAGCGATGGAAACACTCGTTGGTGCGGGCAAGACTGTAAGAACAAAACGAGAGCGTTTTATAATAGATTTCAATTTATGAAAACAAGATTTTCTATCTGCGACGGTACGCTCAACATTCGAACGACAAAGTATCAAGTATTATTATGATAATTCGAACAAAGACTAATTCTTACGTGTTGAGCACTGAGGTATTTCGCTAGCAATTCCATTTCCAGCTGAGTTTGATGGTAACACAGAAGCATTGTAAAAATTACCAGTTACCACATTACAGACTTCAGCACGAGGTTCTGTGTTGTTTACTGTAACTACAACACCAGTTGCTGTTCCTTGATTTATTTCTGATGCGTATGACGTTGCAGAGTTGGCAGCATCCCATGTCAATGAGAAACAGGTTTCCGTTGAAGGCATGCACTGAAGATTTTGGACTTTCGCGGGAACTACGGTAAAATGACAAAATAAGATCATCAACAATAGGATGTCGAAAGTAATCACAAATTATCGTTTCATCCTTATCGCGACAGCATTTTTCATTCATTTCATTTAATGAAATAATATTATAATAATCGCGATGAATGTACCTGTTGTTTGAATAATTTCAAAATAAGTTACTGAAGTGCCAACAGCATCCAAGTACGTTACAACCTCAAGTGTGTAATCAGTTCCTGCTGTCAGTTCTGTGAACTGTCTGCTGCGATGGGGCTGAAATAACCAAAGTTTGCTTGATTAGGTTTATTTGTACATGAAACGTTTGCTAATCATTCACCAATTAAGTGGGGTGAATGATATTTTGAATAAACAACGATTTGAGCAAATTGTTAATAATCTAATATTTTCAGACTTGTCCCATGGGATGGAATGGGACAGCACCCTTTTTCCCATGGGGCACGTCGTACACGAAAACTCTATGATTTTCGAGGAAATTATGGTAAAACATTTCGGTATAGTTTTCGTGTCCATATAATTGAGCATAGATCTCTTGTTAGTTATAAAGAGCAAAATATATTCAGCATTAACATTATACTTCGTGAAGGGGCTGATGGGCACATGAGTTATGAATATAAAGTTAACAAAGTCCGTGAATTTTGTTGTTTCGCGTGTCTCTTCGTACATGTAGTGCTATTTAGTAGACGCTAAACCTAAATTTAACAATTTTCATTGAATTTTATTCCAATGGGAATACCACGGGATGGAACAGGCATGATTGCTATGGGATGGGAATGGAACAGATAAATATGTCCCATGGACAAGCCTGAATATTTCAGACAGTAACGTGCGTAGAAAGTTAAATAACTAAGACACATTTCAGCACGAAACGAGTGAAATATGGCAGGATAATATAAATAATTGTAGTGCTTATCTTATTTTACGGTCCGCTAACAAATATTGAATTTGAGAACTTTTTGAATTTTAGAACAAGCATTTTATTTAAATTTTTGAATTAAATATAAATATCCTACCAACTGTTCAGTTTGTACAGGTCCTCCGAGTGAAATTGAACTTGTGTATGTCATGCTCGGGTGGTTTGATAATGCATTCCATGACAATGTTATGGTATCGGCAGTAACAACGTCAACAGAAAAAACATCTGAATTGAATCGCAATAGTTAGCAGATGAATAACTGATAATTCATACTTAATATGGAAATAACAAAATGTGTTTTTCTATTGCATGTCATATATTTTCATGAGTATTTCCCTCCACATACCTACATTTTATATTTAATCGAATCGGATTTGAAAATACGATTCTCGCATAAAATACCGCTACAGGCAGAGCGGATAATACCATTACCACGGACCACAATTCATAAGTCAATCAATTCTGATGGTTTATAATTAGAATTACGATTTACTTGTCAAGCTATCATATCGTTGACAATATTTCTTACTGGGAAAGTGTAGTAATATTACAAATATTCACTTCGTTTCGCCGATAGTTGGAATTCGGTATTAACAAAAATATAATATGAAAAAAGATTCTTATTTTGTGCATAGGAACATTGCGCGAGTGCATACAATTCATTATTAATATTTTTTTTGTCTTATATCGAGTTATTATCAGTAAAAAAAAATTGAACCTACTTACAGTCAGAAATCATTTCTTACTTGTTGATGCAGGACTAGAGTAAGCACTAGTCAGTATGTCTGTCTTATACGCGATTGAAACATTGTAAATTGTATCAAGCGGAGTTGCTTCAATGTAAGCTGTATTCGACGTTGTTTCTACTATTCTCTCCACAGTACCAGTAATATATTTGACAACATAAGTCACCGGTGTTCCGCCTTGCAATGAAACAGTGTCACATACAAAATCAAATCCGGTTTTGGTAACGTTGAAAAGAATTAAGCCAGACACGGTTTCAGGACCTGAAAAGATTATTCATAGTTACTGCTTAAAAACGATTCACATAGCATAATTAAGTTAAAGCAGTATTCAAGTAAATTGACTGATGGATTTTTGCAAAAACTCAAACCATAATTCTATCACATTTAAATTATGAATTCATAACGAAATATAGCTTGTATAAAACAGGTAAATATCATTTTTATGTATTGATAGAAATACAGCTATGGCGGGCTTATGATCCTCCAAATGGACCACAATACAATGCGCCATATAGGATCAGAATGGGATTTGAAATCTACCAATCAAAATAACTTTTTAAATATTTCTGTGCAGTGTGAATCCTAATCCTTGTAGTTGGTTGGCAGACCATTTGACATGCAAATAGCATTTTTTGTATTTAGGGGATAGTGGGGACCATGAGTATTAGTAAGGGGGTCACGAGTCATAAAAGGGAACGACTGCTCCAAAGATTCCAGGTTCGATTATTTTGATATTTTCGGTTCATTTGAATGATTATTCAAAATATTCGGTCTTTTTTTACCAAGAGTTACAGTATCTGAAGATTCTGTTCCATTCACGCCACCAACTTCTGCCTGCACAGTTACAAGTAAAGTTGAAGCTGGAGTCAATCCGGTAATATCCTTAGTCAGTTTATTATTGACAACATCAGCTGCTGTTAACGTTTCTCTTGTCGTGGAGGTGTCATTCAAGGTTATATAGTAATTGTCTGCTGCGCTTACTGCATCAAACTCTACACGAATACCGGTGCCTCCCATTGAGCTGAGACTGATAGACGGAGTCTTGGCAACTGCAATTTTAATTTGAACGTCATTATATTTAAAAAAATTTTTGACTGAGATTCACGATAGCCCAGCACAAAAAAAATATATTTTAGACCAGGGGTGTGCAATCCTTTTTTTGTCAGTGAGCTATATAACCAACTTCGAACATCCAGCCGGCCTACATATAAAATTTAGTTTATCCATGCGAGAAGAGCGAAAGAAGAGAATGCGGCTATCGCTTAGCCTTGCAGTAAGTAAGAAAGACATCGGTCAAAACGGCGAACGATGTAACGCAGCGACAAGGACAAAAACAATGTGTGTTTTTACCTACGTGAGCGACTTTTTAAACGTTTTTGAACATTTGTATTTTATGCTCGATGGGAAAAATCTGGGTGTTGACAAAGGCAATACTATATGGTCTGTTGTACACCCTCGTTTTAGATTAAATTATTTTGCTAGACGATATTCAAATAAGTTAAATGAGCAACTAGTCGAATTATTCTATTCTATCATCTACGCGTATATGAAATATTGTACAGTAAATGAATAAATCTCGTTTTCTGAGGTTGCTTGTGAAAAAATCATAGATTATATATTAAAAATGTTTGTATTAATTATTTTTTTTCATTTCATTGTTAAAATGTTAAAATTTGAACAAACTCACGTGTAGTAATAGTCAAGGGAGGGTCGGTAGATGAAGTAATTTGTGTTCCTACGATTGCACGAACTGTGGCTGCACAAGCTGTGTTGGGTGATAAACTATCCACATTCGCAGATGTTGATGTTACGTATTGTGGAGGAGATGTCACATTGTTACATTGAACTGAAATAATTAGAAAAATATTTGCTTCTATTTGTAACATTTTCAATGGGTCAGTCTTCCACAGAAATAATATTCAGTTGTAAACATGTTGCGCTATATGTTCGATATAACAAATATTGTTTTCCATTATGCTGAACTAAATTCGTCGGATAAAACGAAAACCCTTCATCTACTTTTAACAAAAATTAATTTGAAATTTGTTGCGTGTGACCGTAAACAGATATATATAGCATTTTGACAAAAAAAAAACCTTAGAATAATTTTGTTACTGTTTTTCATATCAACATACTTTCCAGAAGATATTTTGTTGCGCCAGTCACTGGATCCCAAGTTGCGGTAAATCCATCAGTAGTTGCCGAATTCAAACGGAAATTGGCTGGAGGGCTAACAGAACTTGTGGTACCTGTGCAAAGATAGTAAAATATTATTAAGACTTTTTAAAAGTATCCTGAATGTCAATGACGATTGTACTATTTTGTGACTACTAACTTTGCTTCAGAAAAACTAAGAAAATGTGTATAAAACTGGCTTACTCTCAGATATACTGCCACTTGTGACCGTTGCCCCTGAAATAGTCAAAGGCGACGATGTATTTTTCTCAATTTCCATCAATGCTTCAACACTTCCGGCGCTAAATATAAAACATAATTGGTTGTCACTGTATGAAAAAGTTTTCTATTTTCTCATGGAATCACGACCTCGCTTTTTTCGTAGGACAGATGTGGGGAAAGTGGTACGAGTGGTTGAAACGGGGTAAATGTAGGATAACTGGAACGTGTGGGAAAAAAGGGACTCGACAATTTTGGTGTACCGTTTTATCAGCCTGGTTCGCTCATACTATATACTTTGTCTGGTGATGGATGAGTAAATCGAACACATTTTCAAAGTAAACATCTTTTAAAAAAAGAAAGCCGTCTGAAATTGAAGAAAGTGCAGAAATCTCAACTCACAAAAAATCATGGATGGTAATATTGATGTAGTATCCTGGCAATGCACTTCCAAATCTCGATCTGAATGTATTTGATGTTGATACAAAATTTTCGCTTGTTCTATCCTGCAAATCCGTCGAGTATGTCAAATCAGTTAACACCATGAATATTACAACGGGGGCCGTTTCTGTAAAAGAATGCATTAATAGTGTGAAATTATGGTTCATTATATAGACCGATGCATTAATAGAGTGGCAAACGTTGACTTTGCCGATAAAAATGTAAGAGTAAAGTCACGTGCCACTATATCACTTCGGGTGTAATTAAGAGAACGGTCCCCTAAAAAGCATATTTTAGCTTCCTACATAGTCATCGATGCTTGTCTGAGCCATATCAGTACATTAGTCACATTGAACACAAAAATTGGAAGCACTGATTTTTGCAGCATGAGACATACGCCGTTTACATATGACAAATGTATAATAAGGAAAAGGGCGATTTTTTTCAAGATATCTCATAATTATCTAATTTGCACTACTGGTGCGTTCAAGATAATAATTTCTCAAAACACTAATTATTTTACAAAACATCGAATGTTCAATTTATTTTCAGAAATATCTTGTTAAATAATATACGTGCTCACTTGTTTCAATGTTTAGTGTTGTACTTTCCGAACCAGAAACTGATGCACCGTTCTGAAGTTTCGTAATCCTTGCGGTAATGGTATATTTTGTTCCTTCTACCAAATTAGTGAAAGATGATATTTGAGTACTTTTTACAGTTTTTGATTCTTTCAATGTCCCATCTGTGTTGTAGATTTTAGTCTAAAAAAATCCGTAGAACATTAGCATTTGTCGAATTGTTGCTATCTACCTACATATAAAAGCATTCTGTCTACCACATGGATGGCGAACCACTGACCCGCGAGTCACAAAGTGACCCACCGCGTTTTATTCGTAAAAACCGGCGTTGAATTGATCTAACAATAACTAAACTATTATAATGTACCGTCAGTTGCGCAGTCAGGGATGCAATCGCTCATATTCAAATTGTTAATTTTCGGGCCGGTAATTTTCAAAACCCCTAATCTTGAACGCAAGTCTGCACTGTTGTGTACCGTTATCTAGCTATCGGCTCTGACATCGTTTATGACATACCAATGCAATTGATTTGTTCATTTCTCGCAACGTCTTGTCTCTTTTGGAATTGCATCTGCAGACTGTTTTAGGGGTTATACGAGAACTAGCTGCTAATTTACATTTGATTAGTTTCTCGCATACAGTGCCGTTGAGAGAACAAAGACTTGAAATAAAAACCTACAGATCTGAAATCATATAATCGAGTGCCATAATAAGTCCTTGATAGAAGTGCTGCATTAGTGAAGCCCAAAACTACACCAACACCAACAGATTTTTATAAGATTTGTTTCTGAATTTTCTTATATAGATACTAACATTGATTAAATATCTGTGACTGTGACCCCCTCTTTGCTGTTCCGCGATAAAAATATAAGTTTTGACCCAATCATTGAAAAAGGTTCGCCATCCCTGGTCTACCACATCAAATCATATGACTGTCATTTAGAGCCGTGTTAAAATGTGTGCGAATTAGAAAAATAATTCGCAAAGAAAAAAAGTTCGTTCAACTTTAGTGTTTGCTAAAAATAAAAAGAATTTATGAGTCAGGGAGAAATTAGCATCTGACACATATTCGGGTCAACCAAAATAAAGTCAAAATAACACAAAGGAAAAATACAAGCATTCAAAATATCCTAAAATGGTTCAATTTTTTTCTCACATCACCCAGTGCTAATGCTATATATTACATTATGAAAGACAAGTATTGAACTTAGTGTTATAGCTTAGTTAACCGTCTTGTGGAGACATTTGAGCGCAATATCGTCTTTAATAAAAATTTACCTCATATTCCTGATGTGGTAGGTCTAACTTTATTTCAAAAATGACCAAGTTTGTTGAGACGTAAATCCATTCAGGAGCAGAAAGAGTTTCCAGTTCTAAAATAAAATTGAAAAAAATTGAGGTAAAACAATGTTGCCAAAAATACAAGCTTTGTAATAGAAGTAAAATAGTAAAATAGAAGTAAAATACCTACGAAAGGAAAATAATTAAAAATTTAAACCTTGACATGTTCCTGGTAAATAAGGATTCCCGTTGTATCCAGTCTTACAAACACACGAATAACTTGCTTCATTATTGGTGCAATTGGTGTTTCTGGTGCAATTGTTGGGATATCCCGAAGCACATTCGTCAATATCTATACATAGTACAGAAGCTAAATTTTACTCGCTAAAATATTTTTATTATATGAATTTGTGGCGTGGGAAACATTTTCTCCCAGCATACATTTCAAAAATTTGTTGTGAACTACATGCTTGCTATGGCCCACAGAAACTACGTCTGAAATTGTTCCTGTCGGCCGTGATTTGTGGAGCGCCAAAAAAATCGTTAACCACAAAATGCACTTGTTGATAGGTAAATATGGATAACATCCTTGATAAATGTTAGTAGTATTGAACTTTATAATTATTTCTGAGGTGCTAAGCTAATATACGCCAGCACGTGGACCTTTGTACAAATTTGATCACTGTAAAATACAAAAATACCGTATACCTGTGCAGATTATACCGTTTCCGGAATATCCAGAGTTGCAAGAACAACTAAAACCGCCTTCCACATTTGTACATTTACCATTGTTGCTACAGAAACTTAGACCTTCGGTACACTCGTCGATATCTTGATAAAGAGATTTCTTAATGTTTTTAGAAATTTTCGCTCAGTGTAAATCGTGAATAGTATTTGTAAATGTGGGAAGACGCGCTTTTGTCAATATTTGAAAATAAATGGTAGGATATATAAAAATATTTGTTTTTTTTATTAGTTTTGTGAAAAATTTTGACTTGAAGAATAGAATTCACCTTATATTGCAAGCAACAATTACCACAAATCGCCAAATATTTTTTACAACTTGCTTTATTAAAACAGTCGACTGATCAATATACTCAAAAACCCTCGTCTTAGTCTAATCTACAAATTTTAAGCTTCTTTAACACCTTACTCAGTTTAGTTAACACGACAATGCATACGTTGAATAACTGAACTTAACAAGTGTGCTAGTTAGTCCTTGTATGGAATTTTCATTAATGAATAATTCATACGTTGGATGACGCAAAAACTACCGTACAAAAATTTTATTTTTTTGTCAAATGTCTTGACTGATCACATTGTTTGATACAAACCTGTACATGTAATTCCGTTTCCTGTGTATCCAGATATGCAAGTGCAAGTGAATGATCCTATGGTATTTTGACATTGTGCATTTTCACTGCAAGTATTCGTTCCGGAACTTGCGCATTCATCTGTATCTAACAATATAATGTATTTTGTCAACTATTAGATTAATGTTATCGTTAAATTTGTTGCGGAAAGATGCTCAAATCACAAATTAAGAAATGAACATATTCAAATTATTCCTAAATAGAAGTAGTTCGCGGAGCATGGCCAAAACTAAAAATCAAAAAATGAAAACACAGCATAAAACTCAAGGATGGTATTTTATACCTGTGACGCAGTCTTGTTTTGTGGCAATGGCACTTTCACATTGACTATTAGCGGATTTTAAAGTTACAGTGTATTTCGTTCCAGCAGTAAGCCTACAAATATTCGCAGTTCTATCACCGAATGAAATATTAGCTGATGCAAATTGATTCTCAACCACTGATGCCATGTACGATGTTGCAGATAAAGATTCATCCCAAGTCACTGTTATGCACTCCAATGTTTTTGGTGAACACACAAGATTTTGTACCACTGGCGGACCTGAATTAAAACAATTAGATATTTATTCTATTTTTATCATTTTTATAATTTTATTTGACAAAAAATAATATCAATCACGGAATGTCAACTGCATTCAAATACTAGCGACAACAACAACAATCTTTAACCACTGAAAATTAATTTCAAATCAATTGGTGCTGTAGTTGGTGTAGAAGAAAAACGATTTTTTCACAATAACGACAAGAAGAAAAATCCAACAACAACAAGAACAACATAATAACAAAACGATTCATAGATCCACTTCGTGTCCAATAACACAAAGGATAGATATGGGGAAGATATAATTGTCAGAAACCGCACGCTTAAACGATTTCGCAACATAAAAGTTATCTGAGAAACATGACATCCGAGCTTAACACAATGTATTCAGCAAATTAAAATCCAATCTATCAGAAGTTCAGTAGCATGTGTTTTAAAATAGAAATACTGTGTTTCGTTGAAGAGAAGCGTTCTTTTTTTTTGAAAAATGTTATGTAAAACCCAAGAAAAAGGCGATATCGGTTCTTATCAAAATTAAATGTTCCTCAAAAAAGATTCCATTTTGGACCCGTTATCATTAGCATGTGAATGCTTAAAATTCGAAATGATAAATAATAATAAAATTGCACTGTGTAAACAAAGTAGCACCACGTTTGTTAGCCTTACATGTGATCTGTGGAATGGTAAACAAGATTGTGCCATCCACTGAAACCTGAATTGTGTGTTCAACTCCACTTGTTAGTCCAGAAAATGTTTTGGTTGTTGTCGCCTGGAAAAAGTCATTTATACAAATTAACTGAGTATTGATAAAAAAGTTGTAAGTGACCAGATACGCACTATGTTTAGGCTAATCGAGATGGTTGCAATAGATATGTCAGTTAATAACGAGGCGAATTCAAATCAGAATTGTCAAAGCAACAGCATGTTGAAAACAAATCCACAAAATTGGTTTGTATGGAGAACAATTTTTAATTGTTGTTATGATCATATTACAACTAAACTCGTGCTGTATTATATTTGAAATACTAACCTGTTCGCTTGAACTCGGCCCAGGAAATATTGAAAGTTCGTAAGTGGTTGCAGTTTTAAAAGTATTCCAAGATAAAGATATGCTTTCATCCGTAACTCCAGTTACATTCCATAATTCTGCAGCAATGAGTAGAGAGAATTTAAACAAAAACAACAATGGTGTATACAAACAAAATTTAAAATAGGATTTCCGCGAAAAATAAAAAATAGCATCCTTACTTGTTTTTGCGGAAGCAGAGAACGGTGAAAATATAGCTGTTTTGTACGCCACTGATACGCTGTAGTCTGTTGTAATTGGGTTTGCAGCCACGATAAACTCATTAGTTTTGTTTGTAATGTATTCCTGGGTTCCAGATAACGATTTATACTTGATTACATAAACAGTGTAAATTGCTGGTACTATAGTCACTGAACTGAATTCAATGCTGAAACCATCTTTTGTGACGTTGTAGATAGCTAATCCAGAAACAGTTTCAGGACCTGAAATATCGTGATCTCATTATTTTGTAAAATTGTAAAAATATTCACTGCATTCATATGCAATATAATAGGATGCATAGACCTTCAGCTAATTAAATTATTCTGTTTTATTTATATTGTTCGACGTCGATAATATAAATACCAAAAGTTAACCTAATTGTCATCGCGGGTCAGATATCATCTTATCGACACTCAGTTGGTTAAGCATCATGATCTTCGCAATCGCAAAGATATCGGTCATTTCACCAATAGATCATACCATGTCCTGTTTCTGTCTGTTCTTAACTTTGTTAGAATATAATTCACCGATTTTACTCATAAAAATGATAGGGTTCAATTAATTTACCTGTGGTGGCAGAAGATCTCGACTCGGTGCTGTTCATTCCCCCGACGTCAGCTACAATTCCAATATCATATAATGTATTTGCTGTCAAGCCATCAACTTGCTTACTAAATGTTCCGTTCACTTCATTATCGGCAGAAATCGTGAAGTCAAATTCAGGATAATTTTTGAAAGTGATATAGTAGGTTTCTGCTGTATCTACTTCGTCGAACGTCACAATAATAGAATTCCCAGTTAGCACCGTGATGGAAAAATCTGCGGGGCCCTCCGCCACTGTTGATAAGATTTTGAAAATTAAAAGGGAAAATTAAATTGGGACAACAGTATAAAATTTAAATTTGTATAACACAGGCTGTAGACGTAGCTAAAATATGTTGACAATTCAAGAAATATATCTGTAATATATTCTACAAATTTTTCTTGATTTGTTTCGTTTTTAATCATTTTGTGAGCTTTTCGTACAATTGTGAGTACTCCCGTAGTGTGTGTACCTACCTGGTAGGAGTCAGGCCATAATTTCATTCCGAATTTCCTTATTTTAGTTCTATCACGAGTTCGGGAAATGTCTGTATTAGCCAAGTGAATAAACCCCCTGCCCATAGGCTTGAGTAGGCGAACGAAATTAGTTACTTCCATATTGGTACAGACACTTCTGGAGCGCCCAATTGCGTACAAAATATAGAGAAGTTTTACACTAGATTTCTAATATGTGAGCTTGTATTGCACTGTCTATACAAATTTGATATTACATACTTGTTGTAATCTCAATGTCAGTACTATAGTTCGAAAATCGTTTTGTTCCGTCGGAAATGACAGCACGAACAGAAATAACAACAGGTGTATTCGGAGGAAGATCAATCACAAAATAACTTGTTGCATTTGTTGTGAAAGTCTCATTTGATTCCGTGTGTTCGACTGTAAAATTATTATTTATTTGAGAAAACTGTTGTATTTTTAATATTCAAAATGACAAAAATTCATATCATAACTGAATCCTTTTATACCATCATTACAACACGAAATTGGATCATTGTTAGGAAAATATCCCATTTTAAAATACGGAATTTTGCTAGTGACATTCGTCATTCAAAGAAGGCTATTGGTTAGTGCAAAAAAAAAAATTGTGAAAGAGAAAAGTATGTAACATATGAATGATAATCCCACATGATAAAAAGGTATGGTAAATAATTATTGCTGTTTTGACTCCATCTCAAACGATATTCAAAAGTATACAAACCATATATTTGATATTCAACTGCATTTGTGTAAGCAAGCCATTGGATTGTAACTTCAGAAGTGGTTACTTTTGTTATGGTAACATTTTCTGGTGGAGGGTCGTCATATTTTGGAACTGTAACAGTGATTTATCAATTATATAACAACCTTTTATTCTATCTACACAATATTGAAACTTTAAAACTAATATCTCATCATGCTCCAGTTTTGAATTCCACTTAATTAAAGTATTTGAGTATTAAGTATTTGTCAAAGTGAGTACATCAATACAAATGATAAAACTCATTTCTTGTGGATCGTGTAAATTGATTTAGTATCTTGACAATTACGTATTTCTAACTTTTTCATAACCCAATTTTTGGTTAGCGTAATGCATCATCGCGTTGCTCTTTGCCGTCACATTTGATTCATAAATAAAAATATCGCCACAACCAAAATTCCATAATATTTAAAATATACAATCAATTCTTGATCAATACTTGCCATGCTAACTTACTCACTAAACATTTAGACCTAAAGTGTGTATGCAACCATAAGTTTGCAATATTGATATGAATGCAAGTTAAAAGTTAAGGCTGCAAACTTCATGTTTCTTCTAATATAATCTATTTGAAGGATATTGTAAAACCCAATCATTTGGAACCATACTTGTTGATAATGCATAACTAGAATTAGTAGGAGTGACTTCATCTAAAGTTTGATTCGTTGTAGAATTTGTTTCAATCTCCATCAACGCTTCAACGCTACCAGGACTAAAGTAAAAAAATATATATAAATATTGATAATCATTTTTTTGTCCATAAATAATGACAGACAATGGAATAAAATCAGCTAAAACAGAATCTGTTTGTGTTATCACGATTTTCAGATATTTTCGCCAAACTATATTTAACATTTTAAGAAAAAGAAAAAAGTAAGTTTGTTTGTGAATATAGTTTAGTTTTGTTTTTATTTTGAGAGAACTCCTCAACCCATAACTCAAGATATTCACATCAAACCACTTTATTCCTTTTTTATTTGGCATTTCACATCTTCGATATGTTGTTCCACACTTGTAGAAAATACGTACGACGCTACTATGTTTTGATAGGACTAGAATCTTAAGAGTTTAATTATTTATTTCAATTCAAAAAACGTAATTGAAAACGAGAATTTTTATTCATTTCGTTGTTTATTCATGTTCGATGATATATGCATTCACAAAAAATAATAAGAAGCAATACAAATTCTGACAAATTGGAAATCTAATAATAGTAAATTCATTCACAAAAAATAAATCTACACTTACAATAAATTCCAAACAAAAATTGTCAAAATGAAGTTGCTTGGATAATTCAATTGTACGTTGTATATGAGCGTGGCAACAAACACTTGAGATTCAGAACTGTAAATATTGTTGTAAGCTGATACAAAAGACTGCTGAACTTTTAAAGTACACGGGGATTTTTCCATAGCTGAAAATAATGGAGGAATAAATTAGAAATTATTGGAAAAAAACTGGATAAATATCATTGGAACTGTTTGACTTAATACAATTTATCAAAAATTCGTTGGAATTCCTACTGCCTATGTATAAACATTGAGATAATTCTAAAAATGGAAACGTACTTCGTATGTCCTAATAATACTATCCATTAAACACTTATATGTTATTAATTTCAAAAAATATTTCCATTCAGTACGATACATTTATTTAGAAATAAACTAAATAAAATTAACATTTTTTAAAAAATTGTGGCAGAAAATTATAAAACATGAATATTACAATTATATCTTACGCGTATAAAAATATTTCCATCCACTAAAATCAGGTTCAACCTGGTATCCATTTCTAAGAACTAAAACCCTGACTCTTGCTTCGTAGTCAGAATCCGGATTTAAGTCATTAATATCAACAAGTAAATTATTTTTAGGATCTGTAAATCTTCGAGTGAAAACTGTTCGTCCAGTCCACCAGTTTCGAACTTCAACCTAAAATGATATCATCGTACATGATTAACTAAAAAAGGAAGAAACAACTGTAAGATCCGATGTGCATGATCATCAAAAAGTATATTGGGAAAACGAATAGAAAAAATAAGAAAGAAATAGCACGTTGCTGCGACCTTACCTCGTATTCTTTGTGCCTTCTCCGAGAAACGATTTTTAAAACTGCTTTTCGTGGTTTCTTTGAGACGACTTTCATTTTCCGAAGTACAACTATTTCTGTATAAGTATATTATGCTACATAGTTAGGTATTATTAATAGAAAAGGGCTTTTCTACGATTAAGCATGATCGAACATATCAAAATTGTCAGAACAGATAAACTTGAGGTATTTTATTGAAATCCTGGTTCAGATAAAAAGCACAAACATATAGCAAATTCATGTACAATTTGATAAAATTCACTAATTACGTTAAAATATGTAACAAAAACAAATCAATTAACTTTTAGCTAAATTAAATACTTTACGAAAAATAATTACTTTGACAGTTACGTCCATCTCCGGCGTAGTTTGTTGCGCAGGAGCAGTTGAATGATCCAGGTTGGTTCGTACAAATACCTCGTTGTCCAGGACTACAGTCATCACTTCCAATTCCACATTCATCAATATCTGGAAATATTCAAGGTATACAATAGGTTTCGATGGTTATTACTATTTGCATAGACGTTCAAATCTACGATGTTTTAGTCAGAAAATTATCGCTGTAATATTAAGTGTAGTTTACGTATAGTGACATACAACATTTCTCTCAAAAAAGAGAGAATTGATACAAAAGAGAATTTGTTATTAACATTGTAAGTCTCTTCACTGATTTAATGAAATAAAAAGTACTAATGATTGCTAATTTTAACACATGAAAAGAATGATAACTACTAATTGTCACTAATGGCAAAGTCATTTCAGGGAAGCTGATAATAAGCATTCAATATTTTATATTATAGCACAGGACAAATAATGATGCTGGCCGTGACTTGCTGGTCCTCTGAACATGGCCACGACAACATCGGGGCCATTGTTATGGGAACGAAATTTAGAATACGGTAGCGTTATGAATTGAGAGTACATTATCGGATTAAATCTATCTGAATCAATAACTTCCCCAATTGACGACTATTGGTTGTCCTTTTATAACGTTCTCTGGCGAATAAATATCGATTCTTTGCAATTATCGTACCTGTACAAATTATACCGTCTCCAATATAGCCTGGATTGCATGAACACGCAAAAGATCCATTTGTATTCGAGCAGTTTGCGTCTGGATGACAATTATGTGTCCCTAATAAGCACTCATCAACATCTGTTTGATCAAAACAATTAATATTATTTTTTGACACATTCTTAGTAACTTTTATATGTTTTAATAATTTAGAAATAGTTGCACATTTAGAAGTTTATATACATGTATAACATATAACAGTAAAAAATAGTGTAGAATCATTTTATTTCAACATCGAAGCGATATTTTTTCTATATTTATCCCACGGCCTAGACATTGCTAACAGGAAATACATATTTTATACCTGAACACACTCGACCACCTCCAGAATAGCCTGACATACATGAACATTCGAAAGATCCATCTGTATTCATGCATTCAGCGTTTACATCGCAGTTGTGACTATTTGTAAGACATTCGTTGGTATCTAATTGAAATAGTGATGCAAATGGTCACTGTTATCTGTATTTATTTGAGAGCTATTTGTGAAGCAATAGAATGATTGTTAACTACAAAAATATTTTTTAATATTATGTCACATATATAAGCATCGTATGTCGATATTTGTATTTATGTAGTCGTTTAGCAACGTCATCGATGGAGAATCATATTAAAAAAAAAACAATAAAACATGTTTTCAAGCATTCTGATTAATTTACGTTTACTTACCTATGCATATAACACCGTTTCCGGTGTATCCCGATTTACAAAAACACGAAAATGAACCAGCGCTATTGACGCAATCAGCATTTGCGTGACAGGTATTTGATGCACCGGCGCATTCGTTAATATCTACGATAACAAAATATATATAAGATTTACAAAAGTCAATACATGAAATAATCAGATCACAAATTGATGAAATATGAAAAACGTCAATATGAATCGGTTGCTTTATACCTATATTTATATCGTCATGATATTTATAAGTGTTGGCAAAAATAAACCAAATATCTGGGAAATACTGGAAAAGATCTCGTATATTGCAAATATGATGATGTCTGCAATCATGCTGGATCAATTCACCTGAACAGAAGATGCCATCCCCCGTATAGCCCGATTCGCATGTACATTTATAAGATCCTATTGTATTTTCACAAGTCGCATTTGCATGACAACTATCTGTTTTCAATATACACTCATCTGCATCTGTTCAAACAATAAATAAAATACGTATTTATTAGTATTAATCACCACAAACAACACGATTGGTCATGCGTACATAACTGGCATATTTGTTTCAATTTTCAAAATTTGAGCGATTTAGCCAATACATCTGTGAGGATGAAATTATATTGAAGATATACACCACACGAACAAATGTATTCAACTCAAATATGCCGTTGAAAACAATAAAATAATTTCAAATCCAGTTGCCGTAAGGTTATGAAATCACACGTAGTATTTCGGATATTATACCTGTGCAGACTTTACCATCTCCCGAATAACCTGCGTTACAAGAACATGTGAAAGATCCGTTAGTGTTGGTGCATTCTGCGTTTATATTGCAGTCGTGAATACCGCTAAGACATTCATTGACATCTAAACAAAATAATAACTTAATATTAGATGTTATAATTTTATATCAAAAAGTTGGCAGAGTCTAAATTGATTTACGCTAATTTAACCATGCGCTTAAAAACAGCAGGTGCATAAATCTTCAATATCGAAAATATTAATTTCTTTTCATATGAAACTCTGAAAGTGCATGTATTCTCGTACTATCAATTATAACATTGTGCCAATAAATACTACTATTCAGTGAAATGGAAAAATGTGTATCACGTAACTACTAACATATGAATGTGCACGCTTGATAGTAAAACAAATCGATTCAGTAATAAATCACACTATCCATGTCATCATTTCGAGCTCAAACGAACTGTGATGTCTATACATATTCTAATGCTAAAAACTGATATTTTTAAGTCACAAAGCTAATGTCAACTTGTTATTGCATGAGGCGTTTAGAAAATGCTGGTATTTTATTGCTTACCTGGAGAAGGCGTGGTCGACACAGTTGTAGCCTCGCTTGGCCAAGCCGTATTGCCAACTTCAGCAATGGTTGATTCAACAACATCATTGACGTATGTACCAACAGTGCTGACTTTATCAACATATACCGTATACTCCGTAGAGTCAGTGGTGGCTATGGTATTTTCTGAGACAGAACCAGTGTACCCTGCGCCACTGACTGCCCGTGTAATGTTTATCGTGGTCGTGTTCGATTCAGAGGGAGTCGTTGGGGTTGGTATTGTGTCACCAGTTAACATTTTGGCTCCTGTTGTAACAGGAGTCGTGGATATCAGAGTCTCATCTGAACTTTTCGAAGATGTTGCGACTGAGTCAACATTAATGTATGTAACCGACGACTCAGCGGTAGAGAGCATTAGTTTAGTCGTCGACCCCAAAACAGTCATTTTCGACGATTTGCTAGTTGTTACCGTTGAACCTGATACTTCCGTAGAATTAACAGCATTGGTCGTTTTTGTTGACGCAGCAGAATTGGTAGTTATACCGGTGATTGTTTCCGACAAATTCTCAGCTGTTGTTTCTGAATGGGTAGAATAAGTAGGCGAAGATCCTGAAACTATACGTGATTTATTGACAAGAGATTCTCCAGTGGTCATTTCCGTTTTTGAAAAAACTTGGTTTTCTGTTGATAGCGTTTGGGCGATTGAAGTAGGAATTGGCAATGATGTTGCTGCCTCAGTCTTTACGTCTGTCGTGATTTTCTTTGTTGTTTGCTCGATGTCGTCCGATAATTTTGCATCAGTTACTGATTCCGTATTTGATTCCAGCTTCGTGGCTGTTTCACTGACAACTATAGCAGAAACAGTTGTACTTTCAATCCCGTCCGTGACTATTGATTTATTAGTGGTAACTAATGCATCGGCGTTTGTGGTTATGCCCGAGATAGCTTTTGGCGAAGATGTTGCTATTGTTGTCGGAGTTTGGGTGGCGTTGGATACAACATTTTTAGGTTTAACATTCGTTGAGAATTCGATTATATTTGACGTCGTAATATTTGACATCGGCATCACTGTAGGTGTTAATGGCATTGCAGCAGTTACATTTTTCTGATTACTGGTAACAGACTTTTCGGTTGTAGTCGGTGTCTTCACTGGAGCTGTTGTTGTCGGTGAGTACGTAGAAAAGGCAGGAAACGAACTGCCTACTGTGACATTAGTAGATGATGTCAATTCTAATGCAGGCCTACTTGTTGGTTTATCAGCAGTTGTATTGTGAATATTACGTGACACGGTCACAGGAGTAGTTTCAGATTGACTTGGCACCGAAGCATTTGTAAGTATTTTATTGGATCCGGTATTTATTCCCACAATAGCATTTGATATTGTCACAGTCACGGATGGAGTGGGTGAAGTGTTTTTTGTCACATTGAAAGCAGTTAGTTCCTCAGTTGTGGCAGGATTCATCTTTACTAATGATGTGTTTTTCGCTGTAACATCTTCATCTGTTGAAGTTATTGTTACTGGAATAAAACTGGTGCGAGAGGTCACTGAACTGAAGTTTGTCATTGATGTTGATGATCCCGATTCAGATGTAACATTTTTAGCAATACTGGTAACATATTTAGAAGTAGAGGCCTCACTCGCAGATGAATTATTGGAAAGTGCAGTTGATGTAGCGTTCATTGGTACAGCTGTAATAGAAGTGGGTGTGGCAGTCTGATTGTTTGGCCATAAACTACCGGTAGTTGAATTTGTTGTTGATTCAGTCACAGTTGTGACAGATGAAACGACCTCTGGTAGAATTTTATTGGTGGCATTGGAAAACACTGTGGAATTTGATGCTGTTGTGCTATAAGTTAACACCGCTACAGAAATTGCTGTTGTCAAATTAAAGTCTACTGTGGGTGCTTCAGTTGCATAACCGGATATGCTAGTTTCATCTTTCTCCGCTGATGCAGATGTGACTTCACTCATCGCAAGAGTTGTAATTTCGTTCGGTGACAAATTTCTCACGGCTGTGGTCATAGTTGTTTGATTTGATGATAGTGACTTATTAACTGATGTAGCCATGAAAGTTGTTGTTGGGGAATTTATAAACGTCTCAGTTGATATTTTGTTGATGCTTGTTGTTGCATCACTAGGGGTAAACGCCGGAGACGTTGCTGATAGAACAACAGTGGTTTCATTGGCATTTGGAATCACATCTTGACCAGTGAAATTTGCTATCACCGCAGGGTTCGTTTTTTCCGATCTATCAGTCAATAACATCGAAGTAGTTGCTGTGGTAACAGCAGTATTTTCAGTTGTTGGGCCGACGGTGGGCTGAATGTTGTTGGTTGTTATTGTTACGGCATTTGATGGTAGAAAACCATCGGTCGCGATAGTATGATTTGTTGGGGATGGCACAGTGGTAGGCATGACTGTGTTATTCGGCAGTAGTCTTACTGAATCAGAAACTATTTCGACTATAGCCGTAGTGGCAAAGCCCTTGTTTGTACCGGTTGATGGAGACAAGCTTGTGACTGTGTTCATTGCGACAGCTGCAGACGTAACGTAAGGTGCAAGACTGGAGTTGACAGAATGGGAATCACCGGAAGTTGTCAATAAAGGTATACCTGCAGAGGTTGTACTGAATATTGAACTGTTCGTTTCTGCTACCGTATTGGTGATTTGTGAACGGTAGATGCTAGTAGTACTTGTAGTCGCGCTGCTTGTTGTTATAGGGTCAGACGTCAACTCGGTGATGTTCGTTGATAGTGTTACTAAAATTGGGTAAGATGTTTGGACAGACGTATCTTCCGATAACGTAGTTGCAGTGGTTGCCTCCGCTGCGCTTGTGAATGTTGATGTGTCGATATTTGATGAAAAGTTCATGTATTCCATTGCTGATGTTATTCCTGGCGATGTGATCATTGTGTTTGAAGTCGCGCCTTCTGTTGTGTTGTCCATGGATTGAAAAATGGTTGTTCCATTTACAGCAGGTATATTTGTAGTTTTTGCCATCACCGTAGTATTTTGCTGTGGGTAAAAAACTGTCGGTTCCGCTGTAATCGCTTCTTCAATGCCTGTATGTGTTGCAGTTTCGTTGGTTGTAGATATTGTTATGTTTGCTGACTTTGAGTTATTTGATAAGACACCATTTGTAGCTGTAACACTTGAAAATGTTGAGTGAAGGTCAGTCACATTTGTAATCGCTCTGCTCGCGGGCGACATCAATGTTGTGTTTGACATAGGTTGCATGGACGCACTGATTGTGTTCGATGTGCCAGTCGTAATGGCGTCAGGCAGTGTTGCATTTATTTCCGATAAACTGGGTGTTATCATATTGTACGACGACTCATTATGACTGGCTATGGCTGTAGAGATACCAATAGGCATTTGTGTCATGTGGGCGGATGTCTCCAAGGCCACTGGAACAGCAGAAGTTGTCAATGTCGGAATTGTTGCTGATTCGGATGTAGATGTGAGCAGCATTGAGTTTGGTGTTGTCATTGGTGCGGTTATGTTAGCAACGACATTTGTAGATAATATGACTTCAACTGACGAATTTAAATTTACTATCGTAGTAGTTCTATTATTCTCTACAGAAAAAATAGCAATGCTGCTCGTCCCATTCGATGTTGGTACATTTGTTGCTACTGAATATGTTGCTGCACTCTGAAGCTCATTAGTCGCTGTTGATGCGGGTACAGCTGTAGGTGCCGTTGCTGCATCAACTACTTGTGTAACGTTGATAATAGCTGACGAAGTGACAAGGGTTGCCGAATCTACAATGTGTGTTTCTGAGTAAAATTGTTAATATTAAAATTGGACCAATGGTTTGCTTAAAACTCGATAGTAGGGATTAAAATTAATTCCCTTATATACTAGGACATTAGTAGTTGACTTATATGTATACTTTTTATTGCGATGACAGGCCATTGTTTTTCTGTTCATATCAGGTACCTTTAGACTGATTTGCGTCGTTATAATTTAGTAGTCATCAGTATACAACATAAAATTAATTACATATCTGGGCGTCAACAGAGGCTTTACCACCAGCATTTATTGGACATAAAATTGGCTTACGGATCGTTTCTATAATTTATTGTTGCTGTTGAAAAAAAATCGCTTTTCTCCGCAGCCAATGGACCGACCATTCGGTCCCAAATTCTCTATACCCAAATATGGTGGAAGTTACTAGATGGCTATTACTTGAAAGTGGGATTGTTACTCTGAGTTTTATGTCGATATTTTAAACCGAGATCTTTATATAGTAATACTAAACTAATTCGTCATACCTGAAGCTGATGATGGCAACATTGATATTGTTGATAATTCGTTTCCACTCACATTAAAGGCGGTGTTTGGAGCTGCTTGAAAATTTGGAAGTAATTTTTATGTGGTATTGCTTACGTGTAATGATATCTAAGTTTCAATTGATATCAAAATCTAAAAGTCGATCATACCTTCAGAAGCATTCATATGAACGGACGAGGTTGGGGTATTGGAGGTAATTGCTTCAGGAATGGTAGATGTTGTTTCAAGATGGTTCGTTACTGCAGTTGTTGACACGCTTGAAGCTGAAAAATAATGACGTGAATGATTAAATTAGCATCTAAATTTCTGATATTCACTTCATAACTTAATAGTATAACACAGGGTGGTCGGTCCAAGGTTGAAGGGCCGCAAAAACTTTTGAGGAGGTCTCGCGGGCCGTAGTCGGAGATCACCCAAAGGTGATCAAAACATCGCGCAAGTTTACTCACCTTAAATATATTAAATAGGAAGGAGAGATTATCTTTCAAAACAGTTTTTCAAGGAAACTATATGAAGCCTATAGTTATTTCAAAATTGCTTCCGGGGAAATATCGTGGTATTTTCGGTATCTTTTCTCGTGTTTGGTTTTGTGATGTCGCAAAAATTATATTCTTTCGTGACAGATATTACTTGAAAACACACCAGACACTGTGGATAAACGTTGTTGAGGGTAAGGAGTTTACCTCGGTCATCTTTTTTCTACACTGATTGTAGAATGAATTGTTATATTTGGAAAAAGTTATTACTTGTAGCGTGAGCAGGCCCAGTGCTATCGTTAAAAAACAACCAAGTTCGTCTAAGTTGGGAAATCGGACCCAGATAATAAAAAAAGCTGGATCGCGCGGCGCTCTGTCAGTTCTGCGGTTCGTCACTGCTGTCACATGGCCAACGCTCAAAAATAGAGGAATGTTTTGACTAAAATAAAGGCACGAAACGTCTCTTCAAATGGGGAGTTACTTGACGCGAGCTCATCTTATTGGCTTGGTCCTATCTGCACAAGACAATTCATTCTCCTTCTACCGAACACATGACGTCATTCCTATATACGCACCGTCTTGGCGTTTATAGATACAACAATGAAATTTCGTGATATTAACAAACATCAATCTCGACATCGGGATTAGGAAAAGGACTATTCCCAGTTGAAATAGTTTGAAAATAAATCAAAATTGTTCTGCTAATAAATAAAAATATCTGCCAATGCTTTAGTGTACGCTAAAATTGGTCTGTGGGCGCAGTTTGGACCACCCTGGTATAATAAATATACAAATTGACAAAGTTTTTCAATGTTAATTTGAATTGATTACAAAACATATGGTCATGAATTCAGATTTTACGCGAAATTACGTCACTTTTGTGAAATGAAAATTCTGCAAACAACGGCTGAAGACCCCAGATGAGGTAAGGCGAATTAACACTCGGAATACAAATAAATAATTCGTACGATATGTAATTTATCAATGGGAGAATATGAATCACTTGAAACAATTTCGGCAGTGCTGAATAATAAACGTAAATCTACGTACCTAGTACCGATAATGCCATGAAATAGGAAAATATCAAGAAAAGTAGGTTATATTACTTGTTCCGTTGGATACGTTTGACATCACTGTGGTTTGTTCCTCGTTAAAAATAGATGACGTTGTTGTGGTTGTTTGTGGCCCATAGGTAGTCGTGTGCGTAGCCGCTTCACTAACAGTAGGTATTCCAAATACGCTGTCTGACGTTTGATTTGTTATTGGTGGAAGTGTAGTTGTAAACACATTTGATTGTGTAACATCAGTTGTTGTCGCCTCAGTAGGCGCTTGTGCAACGTTGCTGATGTTTGGAGCGTTGGCGGTCAGAGTCACCGCTCCCCCTAGATAAGTAGAAGGGTGCCGTTATTGGTGGATTTGGTATGGAAGGAAGTTTCTTTTAAAATTTGTATTCTCAGCTGAATCGTATACAATTACAAATACATAGTATTTCATTGCAAGGCTGACAAATAATTGTATATATTGATCGGCCTTAAAATAATCAAGTAGTTTGTAACTAGTTTATTCAAACCGTGTCAAGAATAAAAGTTCTATGTGTCGAGAACTTTCAATGAAAAGTTGTGTTATCAAAATATTGTTTGTATTTAAAAAGCGTGCAATCTCGTACAAAGTTATTCAACAAGAAATGAACTTTTTTTACCATGAAAAGTTGCTTATTTTGCTTGACCTTGACTTTCAGTTATAATATCACAGTATATAGCGATTGAAAAAGCAATTACATTTTTTTGGACATATATATATATATATTTGCTTCATTGGACAACAAATGATGGCGTGTTTGATTAATTTTTCATTATATATCGCATTCTTTTTCAAGAATGGGTGAATATTCCAGTAATAACATATGAATTCCAACCGTAGCAAGAGATTTTCGCTTTGGTCGGCTATTGTTACGAAGCATTTAAAAATGGGTTATTTTTATCTTCCGACGTATCAGCGACACCACCAGAGGTTGGCGTAGCAACTGTTTCTGACTTGGTAACTGTGACTGCAGTAGTGACAGTCGTGATGGAAGCTGAACAACAAAGCATTGGATTTTGATAATTTTCTTTGAGCCGTTTCCATTTTTAATTTAGAACGATCAAGAATAAAAATGAGCACAGTAGTTCTGACAATTTTTATTGATTCAAAATTGAATTGTTATTGTTGTTTTTAAATGTCACGGCTGCAGCTCAGATTGAATACAAAACGCACAAGGAACAAAATATTTACGCTAACGTGACACATTCTAAATATTTGAAAAAAACAACAAAAAAACGAACAGAGTTTGGGTAGGGTTAAGTTTTGAAAAATCCGTATCTGGAAATATGTTAATTTTGCGACATTTGAATAATAAAATTAAAAAAAAACTTTTAAAATAGAAGACATGACTTGAACGAATAACGAAGTGTGCTTATCACAAGATTATACACCTAGATAACTGAAATCGCGCTTAAGAAACTGGATATATCTCGTAGAAATCAGTGCGAATGAATACGGGGCTTCCTAATTCATACCAGATTGTAAAAAAATTGGCAGGAAATGCTGAATCTGGAAGATTCCATTTCCTGTAAAAATCGTTAGATACGTAGTGACTGATTATGCAGGGCTTTGTTCGAAGGTGTGATGAACTCGAAAAATCTAGTGAATCGACACAGGATTATGATATTTCCTCAAAATACTTCAAATGGGAATTTCATTAAGTGTTTTAGCAGATTTTGTGAAATAGAATATATATATATATACATATTGGCAGAACGAAAGTGGTCATTGACACTATGACCACTATTGCAGTGTACGATTTGGGGTCCTTCCCAAAGCAGATTTGATAAAGGTCATTTTACCTTTCGTTGAAGAAGCAGTTGATGTTAGCGTAGAGAAAACAGTCGATGAAGGCATTGTAATTGGTGTTGTTGTTATTTTTTGAAAATTAAATATTCATTTACATCAAATATGAATATTATATATAAATAAATAATATTTCACTAAAAATTTCGATGTTTCATTATAATTCATGAAAACGTTGTTTTTATTCCTTTAAGCGTGACGCTATAGTAGAGCTCTTGGTCAATTGTTTCGTCGTGCTACTTGAGAAATCACCGTTACTGACGTTGGTCGAAATGTGGGGTCTCGTGTAGTTTCTTACCTGAATAACTTCTAGTGACGTAACAATTTTTGGATATATGATTCCTGGCTCTCACCTGATGACGTCAATTTTTAAAGCAGATTTGATAATAATAATAAAAAGTTATTTTGACCTTTTGTGACAACTTTTCAATAATAATAAAAAAGTTATTTTACCTTCCGTGACATTCATGGTAGCGGTTGATGTTGGCGCAGAGATTGGTGTTGTTACTGATTCATTTGTTGTTGCATTGACGATTGCTGTGTTCAAATCTAAATAGCAAAGCACAATACGTTTAAGATTGTCTCTACATTTCTTCAGCAAACCAAAATAAATTTCCATTTTTTGTATTGGTTGATTTAATATAAACAAAAAGAAGATACTAACAAGGAAATAGCGGTTCACATGTGACCCGCCGAATTAACGTACATAGTATTATCCTGAAATAATTTGCCCTCGATTTTTGAACTTTAGTTTTAACAGCATTTGGAAACGCAGCAAAAATTCCTTTTACCTGTTTCGTTTGATCCACTTGACGTTGTAGTTGTATTTTGTTGCAATTCAAAAACTGCTGATGGCATGGTGGTAAATTGTGTTACGGAAGTATTCGCCCGCGTTGCCGCTTCATCAGTTGTAGACAATCCAACTGTTTCAATAGTTGATGTTGCGACTGTTGTCATTGACACATTTGATTGAGTACCAAAAGAGGTTGCCGCTTCAGTAGCTGTTTGGGCAACGCTACCTGCGCTTTCCCAGGTTGCAGAAGAAGACGAATTCAGAATTTCCGCTCCTGAAAAGAAAGATTTTGTGATTCCAGTCAAACTTATCCGAATAGAAGAAAGTGGGAAACGGTGCTCGCAATGTTTTTATGCTACTTCGATCAATTGAAGATATAAAGTTTTTTTTAAACTAGGAATGTAAAACATACAGCACTATTTTGCGCTTTAAGTGCCTCGCACCTCGACAAAGAACCATTATGTGGGTTTGTGATTTAATCCGAATTTATCCGAATAGAAGGGAAAGGGGAAAGGCGAGAACGGTGCTCGCAATGACTGGCATCACATGTTTAAAATCTGGGATTCGAACTCTAATTCGCCTAGTCGTGTACAATTTTGGTGTGAATGTAGCAAGCATCGAAATCATAAACAGTCAATTGCCATAACCAAATTGTTCATTTTCACCGTGGGACGCATTCCTGCTAACAGTTTAAGAGGCAGAAATTTCAGCCCTCTGTCCCTGAATATAATTTCAATACGTATACTTTTTTATGCTACTTCGATCAATCAAGTATATATTGTTTTTCTAAACTAAGCATGTGAAACATACAACACTATTTTGCGCTTCAATTCTTTCGCACCTCGCCGAAAAACTATTATGAGGAACAACGAGGATGAGGCCGCTGACCTTCAATTCATTAGTCGCAGACAAAGGCCCCTAAAAATTCGAAGTTAAGTATAGAAAAAAACTCGCGTAGTCGGGTGTAAGTGTGTTATGAGCATCTCCAACTAGATCATTAAGAAATTACGGCATCGTCTCTAGTTGTCGTTAATATCCCCCTGCTCACCAGAATTAACAATAAATTCAAAATTTCTGTGTTGAAATACAGTATACTTATTTCTATAAGCGGTCTATGTCATCTTTGGAAATTCAAATGGTGAAGTTAGCCTAGACACTTTTAAACATTTTAAAGCAGATTAAAAAAAGGTTAATTTTACCTTCCGTGGCATTCATAGTAGCGCCTGATGTTGGCTCAAAGATTGGTGTTGTTACTGATTGACTTGTTGTTGCATTGACGACTGCTGTGTTCAAATCTTAATAGAAAAAAACAATACGTTTAAGATTATCTCTACATATTTTTATCAGAGACCAAATGAAATTTCTATTTTTTGTATTGGTTCATTTTACGTACAAAATATTCTATTGAAAAAATTTGCCCTCAATTTTTGAACTTTAGTTTTAACAGCATTTGGAAACGCAGCAAAAAGCCCCTTTACCTGTTTCGTTTGATCCACTTGACATTGTAGTTGTATTTTGTTGCAATTCAAAAATTGCTGTTGCTATGGTGGTTATTTGTGTTCCGTTGAAGTTCCCCTGCGTTGCCACGTCATCGGTTGTAGACATTTCAACATCGTTCCCTGATGTTTCAATGGTTGTTGTTGGAGCTGTTGTCATCAACATATTTGATTGAGTGTCTGCTCCTGAAAAAAAAAAATAGGCTATGATTCTATAGATGAGAAGCGAGTGGAAGAAAGCGGAAACTGAAGTCGAAATGACCTGACTATATTTTTTGACATGTTGCAAATCTAGGATCCAAACTGAGATTTACCTAGTGTAAAAGTAACAAACAGTTAACACAGGCAGATAAACAGACAATTTTCATGAGTAGAATTCCAGGAAATTCAATTTTACCTTGAGACGTATCCGCGATAAGAGTTGACGATGCAATAGATGTTGCAGTTGTTTCAGATGCAGTATTTGATATCGTTACTAATTCATTGGTGGTTGAAGTAGAGGTAGCCGTGCTTGTATCTGAATAGGATCATGCTTGAGTTACAGAACTTGTGTTTCGATCCAAAAATACTTGTTTACAAACATAAACATATCATTTTTTATCCTACTTTGATCAATTATTTTTTTAGAACTATATATAATATAATAATATCTGGTGATCATATATCTAAAATGCACTCGATTAGAGAGTCCGCCCTTCCTTAGCAAGATTTTACTGTCATGAAACGATGATTTGTTGGGCGCACTTGCGTTAAAAGACAAAAAAAGCCCCTATAGATAATATTGTTATTATGTTGTTTTTAGTATTCCTCTTCTTCTTGCTGTATTTGAGAAAACAAATTTTTTTTTATCTACTATACCGAATGCTTTGAAATTTTTAGTGGTTGACGATTGTTGTTGTCGCTAGAAGGCTGTTACTTTTTTATATTTTTACAAGAAATTTGCACGGAATTCGTTTTTCACTTTCAAGTTTTGTGGAATGACATCATCAAAATTAAAAATTGCGCACCGTGTGGCGGTTCCGCAATTGCATTTCAGTGATGTTGGCTCAGGGAAATCAGGAGTTCTTTTTTGATAAGGTAAAAGTACAGGTGATGGTGCTGTAATCATTTGATATTTCGGTTCACGTTGAGACTGGACGCATGGATCCTCATCGTCACAGAACTTGGGAAAGGTAGGACAGCCAGGGTACATGTACCCTGATACAGGCACTGGGAAGTTAGCTGCTCCGCAGTTCCAGCTTCTTTCAGGGCCTAATGTTTGGGAATAATTTGCCTGGATTTTTGAACCCTAGTTTTAGTAGTATTTGACGACAAAGCAATGAGCTATATATATAGATATATATTACTTGTTTCGTTTGATCCACTTGAAGTTGCAGTTGTATTTTGTTGCAATTCAAAAACTGCTGATGCCAAGGTGGTTGTTTGTGATCCGGACAAATTGGCCTGCGTTACCCCTTCGTCAGTTGTAGACATTCCAACATCGGTTCCTGATGTTTCAATTGTTGTTGTAGCGACTGTTGTCATCAAAATATCTGATTGAGTATTAGAGGTTGACTCTTCAGTAGCTGTTTGAACAACGCTACTTGCGCCTGGCGAAGTTGCGTAAGAGGACGAATTCACAATGTCTGCTCATGAAAAGAAATAGGCTATGATTCTATAGATGAGAAGCGAGAGGAAGAAAGCGGAAACTGAAGTCGAAATGACCTGACTATATTTTTATGACATGTTGCAAATAGGAGATCCAAACTGTGATTTGCCTAGTTGTGTAGACTTTTCGTGTTTATGTAGCAAAAATTCAACACAGGCAGATAAACAGACAATTTTTATGAGTTGGATTACAGAAAATTCAGTTTTACCTTGAGACGCATTCACGATAATAGTGGACGATGCAATAGATGTGGAAGTTATTTCAGATGCAGTATTCGATATCGTTACTGATTCAATCGTTGTTGACGTAGTGGCAGCCGTGCTTGTATCTGAATAATAACACGCTTGAGATATACAACTTGTGTTTTGATCTATCTCTTTGATTCCAAATATACATATCATTTTTTTTTATTCTACTTTAATAAATTGAAGATATAATATTGTTGGAATAAATAGAAACAACAAAACACAATTAGTTGAATGAATGAAGATGGATCGAAATTATCTCTGAGCTTTCGAAGGTATTGGGTGTCTTTATACCCAACCATATGCCACGGAGCAAATAAAATTTGGCACTTGTATCTATTGGTGTAAAGTCCATACATTGGATTTGGAAGCTTGCGCTTGTTTGCTCATACATGAGTCTGAGTCGTATTTACAAACTTCCCACACTGGAAGTTGGAGAGCAATTTTCCTAAATCCGAGCCGAGACTTTTGTTTTGGAATAATTTCCCCCGGATTTTTGAACCCTAGTTTTAATAGTATTTGGCAACAACGCAATAGCTATTTTACTTGTTACGTTTGATCCGCTTGACATTGCAGTTGTATTTTGTTGCAATTCAAAAACTGCTGATGCCATGGTGGTTATGTGTGTCCCGTTAAAGCTCGCCTGCGTTGCCACTTCGTCAGTTGTAGATATTCCAAATTCGTTTCCTGATGTTTCAATAGTTGTTGTTGCGACGGTTGTCATCAACACATTTGATTGAGTATTAGAGGTTACCGTTTCAGTAGCCGTTTGAGCAACGCTATTTGTGCTTGGCGAAGTTGCGTAAGAGGACGAATTCACAATGTCTGCTCCTGAAAAGAAATATGCTATGACTGTTTCAATATTTTGCCGATAGGAAGCGAAGGGAACAAAGCGGAAACTGTGGTCGCAATGATCTGACTATATTTCTTTGACATGTTGCAAATCTGGGGTCAAAACTGTGAGTTATCTAGTGTAAGAGTAACAAACAGTCAACACAGGCAGATAAACAGACAATTTTCATGAGTGGAATTCCAGGAAATTCAGTTTTACCTTGAGACGTATCTGCGATAAGAGATGTTGCAGTTGTTTCAGATGCAGTATTTGATATCGTTACTAATTCATTGGTGGTTGAAGTAGCGGTAGCCGTGCTTGTATCTGAATAAGATCATGCTTGAGTTACAGAACTTGTGTTTCGATCCAAAAATACTTGTTTACAAACAGTGTTTCCTCGAAGGTGTGCGCGTGTGCGCGCGCACACAGCTTTCAGAGGCTGCGCACACGCATAGATTTACTGCGCACAGACGTATTTCGATGTAATGTAACAATGTGCTCGGTTGGCAGGTTGAGAAAGTTTGTTGTTGGCCCACTTATTACCCGGTTAGAACGCCAAATTTCTTCATTGGTTTTTGCACAAATATTAGTCATTTCCAAAAAAGTGCGCACACACCAAAATTTCTGCGCACACATACTACAAAAAATTAGAGGGAACATCGTTTACAAACATATACATATCATTTTTTATTCTACTTTGATCAATTATTTTTTAGAACTATATATAATATAACAATATCTGGTGATCATATATCTAAAATGCACTCGATTAGAGAGTCCGCTCTACTTTAGCAAGATTTTACTGTCATGAAACGAATATTTGTTGGGCGCACTGGCGGTATTAGACACGAAAAGCCCCTATAGATAATTTTGCTGTTATGTTTTTAGTATTCTTCTTCTTTCTGTAGTTGAGAAAAAAAGAATTTTTTTAACCACTATACCGAATGCTTTGAAATTTTCAGTGGTTAAAGATTGTTGTTGTCACTAGAAGGCTGTTACTTTTTTATATTTTTATAGAAAATTTGCATGGGATTCGTTTTTCACTTTCAAGTTTTGTGGAATGACATCATCGAAATTAAAAATTGCGCACCGTGTCGCGGTTCCGCATTTCTGCGATGTCGCGCTCAGCGAAATAAGGAGTTTTTTTGATAAGAGGGACTATTGGTACTTATGTTCTAATCATTTGGTATTTCGATTCACGTTGAGACTGGACGCATGAATCAGCATCGCCATGTCATAGAGGGATCGAAATTATCTCTGCGCTTTCGAAGGTATTGGGTGTTTTTATACCCAACCATATGCCCCGGAGCAAATAAAATTTGGCATTTGTTTCTATTGGTAAAGTCTATGCATTTGATTTGGAAGCTTGCGATTGTTTGCCCATACATAAGACTCTGTCGTATTTACAAACTTCCCACACTGGAAGTAGGAATACAAGTTTTTTAAATCCGAGCCGAGACTTTTTTTTTTAATTTCCCCCCGGATTTTTGAACCCTAGTGTTAATAGTATTTGGCAACAAAGCAATAGCTATATTACTTGTTGCGTTTGATCCACTTGACATTGCAGTTGTATTTTGTGGCAATTCAAAAACTGCTGATGCCATGGTGGTTGTTTGTGTCCCGGAATAATTCGCCTGCGTTGCCGCTTCGTTAGTTGTAGACATGTCAACACCGTTTCCTGATGTTCCAATAGTTGTTGTTACGACTGTTGTCATCGACACATTTGATTGAGTAACAGAGGTTGTTACTGATTCAGCGACTGTTGGTGCAACGCCACTTGTGTTGGACCAAGTTGCGTAACTAGACGAATTTACAACTTCGGATTCTGAAAAGAAAGGGGTTGTGGTTGAATTTAGGTTTTTCCAGATGGCAGTTTAAACAGCAAAGACTGTGGTCACAATGACCTGACTGACACTGCTGAGATTCGAACTCTGATTTGCCTAATCGTGTACACCTTTTTTTGAATGTAGCAAACTGTCTGACCATAAACAGACATTTATCATAGGTTAAATTCCAGAATATACCTTCTCACCTTGAGACGCATTCGCGATAATAGTTGAGGATGCAGTAGATGCAGCAGTTGTTTCAGACGCGCCATTCAATGTCGTTACAACTTCACTTGTTGAAATAGTGTCTATTGTACTGGTATCTGAAAAAGAACCCAACAAAGAGCCATAAGTTGAACAAAGCAGCAATCGCTGCGAAATTATCACATGACTGACGATGTCCATGTAGCGGATGATTGGCACATTGTTGCTCCATAAACATCATCGATTTGAACGCCATAAAATCATTGCAAACGATGTAAATTTTACGAGTCGTAAATTTAAATTTTCACCTAATTAAAACATGAATATGATTAACTGGGACCTAAATGCTCATGTGGATAGTCATAGTTATTCAGGTTTAAAAGTTTATTATCCCCATAAGACCATAACCTATCAAATCTTTACAATACCTTCTGAGGCGGTCGCCGCGAATGATGAGGTTGTCGTCGAGGTGATTACTTCAGACGTTACATATGCACTTGTTGGTGTGGAAGCAGCAGTTGTTGCAACTGAGTAAGAATGACATAGGGTTCAGAATTAATTCGAATTTTTGACCCTTGTTTTTTATAATATTTGGCATCGCTACAAAAAGCTACTTTACTTGTTTCGTTTGAACCACTTGACATTGTAGTTGTATTTTGTTGCAATTCAAAAACTGCTGATGCCATGGTGGTTATCTGTGTCCCGGGAAAGTTCGCCTGCGTTGCCGCTTCAATACTTGTAGACATTCCAACATCGTTTCCTGATGTCTCAATAGTTGTTGTTGCGACTGTTGTCATTGACACATTTGATTGAGTATCAGAGGTTGCTGATTCAGTAGCTGATTGTGCAACGCTACTTGTGTTGGACCAAGTTGCGTAAGTAGACGAATTCACAATTTCTGATTCTGAAGAGAAAGGGGGTGGTAGTTGAATTCAAGTTTATCCGATTATAGATGGCAGTTTAAACAGCAAAGACTGTGGTCACAATGACCTGACTGAGAATGCTGAGATTCGAACTCTGATTTTCCTAGTTGTGTACACTTTTTTCTAAATGTAGCAAACTGTCGGACCATAAACAGACAATTGTCATAAGTTGAATTCCAGAATATTCCTTCTCACCTTGAGACGCATTCGCGATAATAGTTGAGGATGCAGTAGGTGCAGCAGTTGTTTCAGACGCGCCATTCAATGTCGTTACAAATTCACTTGTTGAAATAGTGTCTATTGTACTGGTATCTGAAAATGAACCCATCAAAGGTTGAACAAACAGCACTCGCTACGAAATTATCACATGACTGACGATGTCCATGTAGCGGATGATTGGCACATTGTTGTTCCATAAACATCATCGATATGAACGCCATGGTCCCATTACATTTGAACCCACGTACATTTGAACCCATGACAATTGCACCTGTATGCTATTGCACCTATGGAATTTTTTTTGTTTCACGGATAGTTAAACCCATACTAACCCTAACCCATGGGTTTTAGCACCCGCATATAGATTGAACCCGTGGATATACGCATGGGTTCAAATGTACATGGGTTCAAATGTACGGTCACCGAACGCCATAATATCATTGCAAACGATATTAATTTTGCAAGTCGTAAATTTAAATTTTCACTCCTAATTAAAACGTGAATATAATTAACCTGGGACCTGAATGCTTATGTGGATTGTCATAGTTATTCACGTTTAAAAGTTCATTATCCCCATAAGGTCATAACCTATCAAATCTTTACAATACCTTCTGAGGCGGTCGCCGCGAATGATGATGTTGCCGTCGAGGTGATTACTTCAGACGTTACATATGCACCTGTTGGTGTGGTAGCAGCAGTTGCAACTGAGTAAGAATGACACAGGGTTCAGAATTAATTTGATTTTTTGACCCTTGTTTTTTTATAATATTTGGCATCGCTACAAAAAGCTACATTACTTGTTTCGTTTGATCCACTTGACATTGTAGTTGTATTTTGCTGCAATTCGAAAACTGCTGATGCCATAGTGGTTATCTGTGTCCCGGGAAAGTTCTCCTGCGTTGCCGCTTCGTTAGTTGTAGACATTCCAACATCATTTCCCGATGTTTCAATAGTTGTTGTTGCAACTCTAGTTGTGTTGGGCCAAGTTGCGTAAGTAGACAAATTTACAACTTCTGATTCTGAAATGAAAAGAGTTGTGGATGAATTTGAATTTGTCAGATCGTAGATGGCAGTGGGAACAGCAAAAACTGTGGTCACAATGACCTGACTGAGACTGCAGAGATTCGAACTCTGATTTACCTAGTTGTGTACAATTTTTGTCTAAATGTAGCAAATTTTCTAAAATAAACAGACAATTGTCATAAGTCAAACTCCAGAATATTCACTTTTACCTTGGGACGCATTCTCGATAAAAGTTGAGGATACAGTAGGTGTAGAAGTTGTTTCAGACGTGACATTCAATGTCGTTACAAATTCACTTGTTGAAATAGTGTCAATTGTACTGGTATCTGAAAAAAATCCAACAAAGAGCCATAAGTTAAACAAATCAGCAAACGCTACGAGATTTTCTCATGACTGACGATGTCAATGTAGCGGATGACTCGAATGGTTCCATTACATTTGAATCAACGTACATTTGAACCCACGACAATTGCACCTGCATACTATTGCACCTATGAAAATACCCATACTACACCATGGGTTTTAGCAGCCGCATATAGATTGAACCCGCGGATATACACATGGGTTCAAATGTACGTGGGTTCAAATGTACGGTCACCGACTCGAATATGATTTACCTGGGACCTAAATGCTCATGTGGATTCCCATTGTTATTTACGTTCAAACGTTTACTTATCCCCATAACATATCAAATCTTTGCTATACCTTCCGAGGCTCCCGCCGTTAATGATGTTGTTACCGCCGAGGTGATTACTTCAGACGTTACATATGCACCTGTTGGTGTGGTAGCAGCAGTTGTTGTAACTGAGTAGGAATGACACATGGTTTAGAATTAATGATTTTTTTGGCTAATAACCAGTAGTAAACTATTTAAGTAAATTTTAGTCAATGGTGTCAGTGTCATCTATACGAACGAACTCGTTAGTAACAAAGTATTTGTTGGTACAGTGCAACGATAAAAGATGCTGGTAACGCGAGACATTTTATATTGTCGTCATGGTATTTCATGCAGGAATTCTCCATAATAATAATAATGCTTATCACTCTATCTAATCTGTTGAAACGTTAGGAAAAAATGTAAAAAGTGAACATACTCGGGGATTTTGTGGGAGACCATACAGACAACATACTCTAATGATATATCAAGATGTTCGTATGGTTCGTATTTAGAATTTACTAAATCTAACTGAAGCAAGGTATTGATGTTGGAAGATTCAATAGTTGAATCATCATTAGTATATTCTGAGGAAAAACTTTCACTAATTTGCTTCGTAGTACCACATCAACAGCGCGCATTTCCCTTCAATTCTATTTTTAAATAAATTTATTGCACAATGGCCTGTCAACCGAATATGAATAGATTAGTGTGACCCAGCTAAGTGTAGAAAACATTATATATTGTATTTTAATGTACTAATCGATATGAATTTCTAATTACAGACCGACGCCTTTTCAACATAATATACCGTATCGAAACAAGTTTTCTATCACCGAGGTAATAATTTGATTATCGAAATAGAAACTATGTAATATAATGGAGACGCATATGGGGTTGACTTTCCGCTGTATGATGAAAAAATAAGATTACTTGCGGTTTGCTTTGTGGTAAACCACTTTCCAATATTATTTACAACATTGTAACAACAGTCGGACTTTTATCGGAATGCTTTTACGAATAAATTTGATTGTTGATTATATCTAATTTTATCAAACATGCTATAGGAGATCTTTTGTAAAACCGCCATCACTAGACACCCCCTACAATCTGCGGTACTCAAAAGTATTTTTGCATTAGTGGTGGGGGTTCTCTACAAAAGATGCGGTATATATGGCATTATGTACATCGATGTTTTCTCAACGCGAACTGTTTCACTGTTGATAATCCAACAGACCATCGATTAGTGTATTGGCCCAAAAGCATTGGGGCATTGTATTACAATAAACTATCGCTATTTAGAAAACCAAACTTTGATCAGGTATTGACAACAATAATTTGAGTTCTGGATGCAACGAGGTGGACAGAATTTCGATTTTTGTTATGCCGAATTGAGCGATTTCGTGAAAATAGTGTAATTTATCAGAGGTGAAAAATATGTCATTCCAAAGACTCCCCCAATAGCATATTCGAATCCAAAGTCAGTTTGGCGAAGCGCGAAAGTGTGTTAAGTATATGTCAAGTCTTCTAACTCTGAATATACGTGTTCAGTTTTTTTGAAAGAAAGATAGCTCTGTTTACCTTCAGACGACGCGTTTGCGATGTTACTTGTTGTTGATGTGGAGGCAGCTGTGGATGCAGACGTGGTATTTGCTCCTGTTACTGTTGTTAGCTGATTTGTTGTAGCTGTGCTTATATCTGAATAAAAGATTTTATAATTCTAGATTTGCTTGGCAGACCTTCCGGAAACATTTCCAGTTGTGACCAATGTTCCCTCTAATTTTTTATAGTATGTGTGCGCAGAAATTTTGGCGTGTGCGCACTTTTTTGGAAATGACTAATATTTGTGCAAAAACCAATGAAGAAATTTTGGCGTTCTAACCGGGTAATAAGTGGGCCAACAACAAACTTTCTCAACCTGCCAACCTAGCACATTGTTACATTACATCGAAATACGTCTGTGCGCAGTAAATCTATGCGTGTGCGCAGCCTCTGAACGCTGTGTGCGCGAGCACACGCGCACGCCTTAGAGGGAACACTGGTTGTGACCAATAACTCGATGAAAATGACAAAACCCTGACCCTGACCAAGCTAACGAACACAACGAATTACTGACAAGTCTACGGATCATACTTTGCGATCTGAACCAATGAATGACACTATAATTTTTTTTTTCATCATTTCCAATAATAAAACTGACCTGTAGCCGCTGTGGTAATATTCTCCGCCGTCGTTGTAGTCAATGCTGAAAAATATTGGTGATCTTATATACCATTAATGCAAAATTGTAGCAGACAAAGTGCAATACCAATACAATGCAATACACAATTTGTAAAATCCGTCGCGATAAAAAACATGCTGAAGATTCCAAATAGGAATCTTCACCAAGTTAAATACTTGCGCACAAGTAACAGTGTCTTTAAAAGAATATTGGAGGATAATAATATTTCCAAGCAATGAATGATGTGTATCAATAAAAGAGCATACTTTTCCATAGTAGAAAATGCAGCAAATTACAAAACGCAGTAACTTTTTACATATCAGTTGCTTATTGCCTATATATTTATTATTAGCGGTAATGTGCAATACCTCACGATGTCTTGTTTTCTTTTTTTTATGAATATAAGTCTATTTCATATTTTAAGCCCGCCTGCCGGAATATATTGTAATGTACTGAAACTTTCATTTACTTTCACTCAAAATTGTATAAAATGACATTTTCGCAAAACAATTTACTATAGAATGAAAGTACTGACATGATATAATTTTTGTTATTTGTCATTATGCGTCTTAATAAAACTAAATTTATATTCAATCTTTGTCGTTACATCATTTAATACTTTTGACTTTCTGTGCAATATTTATATATTTACATATCAAATAAAAAATACATACACATGCAACATTTCCTATCAATCAATATAATGAGTCAACACTTGAGTAGGTATAGTTGAATGCAAATTAGGACGAAGAAACACCAAATTACACCGTTTTAAAATATATTTGGTCATTAGAACACAATTGGACCCAGAAAATAAGAAAATATGAGATAGTACCGAACTTTCTATATCTGTAAACTATAAATTTCATATAAATGTACTTACCCAAGAGAAATATAGCACCACAAACCCACTGCATTTCTTTGTATCTGATGTTTTATATTTTCTTGAAGTATTGTTATTTCTTTATGCGTTGGCAGTATAATGTCATTTCATATCCCTAATATGAATGTGATGATAAACTAATCAGGTTAAAAAAGATTATGATGATTTTAGCAGCAGCATTTCCGGATTCCCCGTACCGCTGGTCTGCCCACATTGAGGGGGGGGTATTAACTAGGATAAGTTTTTACTCCTCATGTACAAGAAAGCTTAGATAAAAATGCTATGAAACTGGACAGTACTGAATTGAGATATAAAGCCTTTCAGTTCGTTTAAGCATGGCCACTGTGATATTTATTGAAAACGAAAAGCGTTAGCAGTTTCTTTGCTGGCCTAAAATCAAACTTGCGAACAAGGTAAAATTGTTATAATATACAATAATATTCTTCTATATATTATATGATACCTCCAATCCGAAAAAAAACAAATGAAAAAGTTTGCAAACCGCCAATTTGATATTTTCGTCTTAAGATTTAGTTGGTCATTGTGGTTAATATCTCAAACATATACTTCATCCCGGTATAATAAGGATTACATTGCTTTTTTAAAGACCTGTTGCTCTACTTCGAACGGTTTGACACCCCCTTTTTGTAATGTAATTATATTTCTTTTTATTTTCAACCTTCTTATTTCATTAACGGCAGTATTATACTATGCTAAAATTTTCCTAACAGGTTCATGACGTTTCACATATTCATTTCGAATAGTTGTTTAGATCAACAAATACAAAAATATTTTCTCGCTGTTCCAACAAGATCACAGTGGTATGTTGTTTCATCGTTTTACCAAAACTACATTTGATTTCTTCTTTTATTAATTTTTTTGACATTGAGATGAAATCACAATATATACTACTAACATTTCACACCTCTGAATACGACCCTGCTACTATTTCTTGATTACTATATTAATTACTATATTATGAAAATAAACTCTTTTCAAAACAAATTCAAAACATTTCACTCTTTATACATTAGTTTTATACTATATTCTTCAACTGCTACACATTGAATGTGAACCATCAGCGTACTTCTTAATTACCCATATAAATTAAGCATATAATGGGTCAAAGTGACGAATCATTCTATTCCATGTCACAATACGAACGTCACAAATGAATTTTCTATTACCATGTTGCGATCTTTTCTTCGATATAATCTCAATTTCAAAATAATAAAAATTAATATATTCAAAACATATGTGGACCGAACGCAGAAGAGATATTTCATCTTTGGCATAAACTTGATCAGTGCCACGGAATTCCACCATTGTAACTAAGTAATTATTAAAATATATATCGCGTCATGAAACTGTATATATAAAGGTGTAAACCCGTAATTATTGATATCATTCCTGGATACTAAAATCTCAGTATGTTTAGTCGCCAAGGTTATTCCGATAATTACCTGCCAGCGAGGCTATTCACGTCCCTTTCAGTTAAGGTTATTGTTTAGTCGTCGACCACAAATGGGGAAATAAATCACGTTCTTCTGTCAGAGTATGGTAAAATAAAACTAAAAAGAAGTCTATCAAAACTTTAATCTCAAAGTCACAGAGATTTTGCGTTTATAGTGTTATTCATTGATCATTTGTTCATCAAACTTTTTTTTATTTCTCTCGAAGTTTCTATTAGATACGCCCCTCATTTACCCGACTTTACCAGACATTTGTAGCAAAAAATAGCAGGTGTTCAGATTGCATTTGTGAAATTGTTATTTTGGGTTTACGACGTCCACGTACATTTTTACAATAGCATTGTAATATGTTGGAAAATAATTCATATATTGAATTCAATAGAAAATTTAGGGTGAAAACGAGAAATTATTACCGTCACCAATTGTTATTTTCAAGTGTTCAATTGAGCTAAAACTCATCAAAAGTCAAAATATATGTATATCAAATTTTCTTCTAACTCGACGCGACTGTTATATATACCTTGATTATTAACATCTCTATAGTTAGTGTTAAAGATTCTTATATTGAAAAACTACTTTTAAAACTACTTTTTTCATATACTTTTAAATAATATGTTTTGTTCTGTATTGCCATCTAGTGTTCACCAATATTCCCACCGAAGTACAAATCCTCCTTTTCCCTATTTTCGATCTTGGATAGAAATATACGTTCTGAAAAAGCACCAATTCTCGCTATTCCTTATAATTCAATATTTAATTGATGCACTCATATTGGAACTGATGGATATAAGAATGTAGAATGATATTTAAAACATTTGAGACTGTGTCACCTCCTCACTTACTGGAAAATAGGATATAAAAGATTCAAACATAGGTAAATATAAGAAAATTGAGGATTATTTATTCTTTTAGTTAAATCAAAATAATCAAGTGTCTAGTAGACAGAGTTTTTATCTTTTGTGGGTAAATTTTATCTGATTCGGGGATAAATTTCGTCATCAAAAAAGTAATATTTCCATATTACAAGAATAGGCCACCGCTTTCAATTCATTTGCAGCCGTTGCCCAACATAGCAGATTGCGGCATTCCTGTGATTGCATTGTCTTCTATTGTAGTTATGTTAACTTATCCGGCTGCATCCACAATTTTACAACAAAATTGTTGAAGTGAAAATATAGAATATTAGGAGATAAATTTTACTTTTGAAAGAGGGTAAAAGAGAAAAACAAGAGAGGTTGAGAGCCCCCGGTCAAATGTCTATGCTTGTATAATTTTGTTGGGTTCTCATTTGATTACGACAACAGAGCTTATCTAGGTAAACAAGTCAATATAATTTTAATTGATGAGTTAATCAATAATTAATTATTTTAAATTTAACAATACTTTGTTCGTAATATATTTTATAATCTCAATAATTGCAATTTTCGAAATTTTTAGTTGGTGATTGTGGTGAACTTTTGGTGGACTTATTTGATCTAATAATGACGGTTGAATTGTTGTTAGAATGACGCATTGGTGATGCAATAATTAGGTCAACGGATAATTTCCTCATTGGAACTGTTTACACTGTTGCTATTAATTTTTCTGAAATCAGTGAAAATTTTGTGAATTTGTTATGCCTATATTATCAAGCAATTTTCATTACCAGGAAGCTTAACCGTTACCTTGATGGTATTCAATAACACCGGGAAATGAGGGGAAGTTTACGCCGTTAACCTATAAATCGAATACCATGAAATACTGGGTTAACTGTGAATGCACGGATACACAAAAAAGAATTCAATTTTATTTCTTGCTGTTACTGTACAACAATATATTTTTGAACGCTGAATGACTTGCACCATGTTCTGGCTAGTAATATTCGATGTGTGTCAGTAGTCAATAGTTGTATTTAAACTCTAAGAATGTTTTTTTGTAAACGTTTCACTTAATTATGAACTAACTGGACTTCAGTCCTTAGTCGTTTTTGTATGTTGTTGTTGTTAGAATTCTTTTACTCATTACAAAAGTTTTTGTGGGTTCCATGAAATTCATTTTTTTTTGTGTGATAGCATTATGAAAATTAAAAATTGCTCACCTTGATTTCGCGTTCGCGATCTTTGCGATTTGGTTGTCAGTCGAAGTCGAAAAGACTGTGGTATCGTTTCGATGCTGTGCAAGATTATATACCCGTACTACTTTGTCTTGGCTTTCGTGTTCATATGTTCGTGAAAAAAAAATGGAAAAGCTATGGTTCAGCGCAAAACTTATCATTTGTAATTAGAAAAATAAAATGACGGTGTCGGAAGTTTTTCAGCGGAGGAATTCGAGCAATTTAGTACAATTTCTGCGACCACAGTTCATTGTAACATTAAACAATGTCCACGTGATGATTTTTATCACTATAGTATGCTCCTGTGAAAGCGATTAATAATCTATAGTATAGGAAATAAAATGTTTATAGAAATTGAGATCGACAAATGGATGTTTCCCCGAGCACCAATTTCCCTGTTTATTTCCGTAATCATGACCAATCAGTAATAAGCCAACAATTTCGTAATTGAAATTTGTGCAGCCGTCATATGTAGTGAAAATTTTGCTATAGTAAAGTATAGGGAGAATGGGGCCAAGGGTCAGGGAAACATCCATAGCATCTGGTTGTGGGAGCAATGACTTCGTAGTAAGCCCGTCGAGCTCATTATATTGATGATCGTTATCGTTCAAGCTAACTCTCTCTAGGGTTTATTATTTCGATTCTGTAAAATAGTAGCTCTATTCGAATCAATCGTTTCTTCGTTCCAAGCAAAGCTGTGAAAACTACGTATCACAGATTCTTTTCATTTTATTTTGTCTGCAGCATATTTTACTGATTATCCACATCTCGAATTACAAATTGCGCTTATCTGCATTTGTAAAAACGTTCTGCTTGAATGGCACTTTACCAAGAATATTTTTACCATTATCAAGAACTTAGCGCTTACTTTGTTGTTATCATTACGCGGATGACTTCTTATATATGGAAGCATTATTTATACTTTGCTAATCAGAAAGCTATGAACTTTATAGTTTTAAATCTCCGAGGAATAGAATATTATTTGAAAATTTCGATATTTTACTCTACGATTTAGTGAAATACAATTTTCTGAATAGGTTCATTTCATTGATTCAAACATTTTGTTGTATACTTGAAAGAATGCCATATGGAATTAGTCTAAAAATTTCAATCTGCTCGTCTTTTGCTGAATATCGTGAAGGGCCATTAGAAAACTATTGGATTAAACGAATCAAACTCGATCTGAGTGAAAATTAAGTAAAGTATGAAATACTAGTGAATGAAATAAAACAGGTGAATGTGATAAAACAATGGCACAATGACAGAGAATGAAATGTATTAGTAGTGAAAATTTGTAAGTAGGGTACTGCAAAGCATATACGATTGAGAATATCCTGTACTGTATTATACGGGATGCCCTGTATTTCCCTATACTGTAGTTATGCGACTAATAGGTAGTTGATTTTGGAATTCTATGGATTGTCTTCTTACAACAGGTGTTCTAAAACGGATGTTAACAAAAAATTCACATTTTTCGTTTTCTTTAGGAACACAACGAAATTATTTTGAGATGTTTATAATTCTACACTGAAATTCTATTTTCTAATGTCTTTTTTGATTCATTATGGTAATATATGGAGGTGAAAAAAATTGATGATTTTATATGTAAATATCGCAGAGAAAGATTCTGTGTTATGGAATCGACACTACCTGCGAACTTTGTAGCGAGTAGTCACTGCACGATGAAAGAAGTAACATGCTCGCCATCACACGCGAACGCATTTCATGACGTATTGCGCTCCCCATTTTACCAGAAATAACGTGACCGAAAAAAAGCAAATGGAAAAACGGGAATACGGATTTTTTTATGCACCTGCGTCAAGATTACGTTTCGTCACGGCTTTGTCTTCCGTTATAGTCGCTTGTGCGAACAATAAATTATGTCGACTGTTGCAGACCGTGTCTACCTCACTCGTGAAATTGCTGTTGTATGCGGAAAACACTCTAAGCTAAGGGGTAGGCAGGTAGTCCTATGAAAAAGGATGATTAATTTTAGACGAATACTGGGAGTTACAACACACGAGGTAAAAGAGTTAAAAATATGTTAAGCACGACTGGTGCTAAATTATCAATATTAGTTAGATTAATGTTATAATACAATTAGGAAACTGTCAAATCATCTGGAATAAAATGAATATTTGGTATTTAATTGGCAAGGTAAATCAAAATTTAGTTTGGGGGCCAATAAAGTTTTTGGATAGCCCAGTTTTTACTTCAAAATCAGGTTGAAGGTAATTAGGCCATTTACAGCTGAATAATTTCGCGATTGACGTGAATTTAATCCTATCCCGAACTTTATTGACCGAGCGACGCCATAAGTGACTAATACATATAATGTTCATGACGATTGTATCCGTCAACAAAACTGTAGATTGAAATTAGTTAATAGAGTTGCGGAAATATCTTCGACTCATATTTGTTATTTTTATACGGATATAAAAAAAAATGTACGTTCATTGTAAAAGTTTTTTCACTGTCGAAACATAGTAGTTACAATATATACGTATAGATGAAACAGCTTAAAAGTTTTATTTGTTACAGCTGATGATCGTGATTTACTAAATTAATTCTTCTTCTGTTATAGTGTTTTAGTTACTTCGTACGTCTTATATAACATTAGATTAAAATATAACCGGACGAAAGGAAAATAAATCGAGACTAGCAAGGATTGGTTTTCAGCGATAATGGCGACCCGAACTCGACTCAAAGAATTATTATGCTTCGTACTTGTCCTTTGTATCACATCTTTTGATAACGGTAAGTCTATTTTATTTTTCCGAAAAAATTGCAAATTTTACAAGTTCTGGAAGTATAATTAAATTAGGTGAAGAATCGCGCTTGTTTGGCGAAAGTTCATCGTTATTTCGAATTTAGGTATCAAATATTATGACATCTAAGACAATTTTCGAAATGTTTCAACGTATCTCCTATTCCACTTCTGGTTTTGAAAGTTAAAATAGGCTATGCTTTAAGTATTCTAGCATACTTATATTTATACTTTATTGGTGTACTTTGAGATTATCTAGTAAAGTATAGTAATACAAACGCATTTTATGGTTTCTACAAGTTATTTATTTCGTTTACAATAAATTCACGGACACTCTTGCTAAAGTACGCTTTAAAGGTATGACCATGTATCATTTACTATATTTGTTGAATTTTGTGAATTAACCGGAATTATCTATTTTAGTGAGGTATCATCCGTATTCATGTGAACAGAGTATCATGGGAATATTTTGATTTATTGATAGCACGTGAATTGCGCCATGGGATATATGCTTCCGATCTTACAAGCAACGTTTCAAAAAATTTCTTTACGAAAACCAATACGTTATTTTCGTATCCGCCATGGTTGTTTCTATTTCCCTTTTCCGTTGGTAAATTTAAAGTTTTTTTCTGTATTTCGCAATACTGGAAACCTATGTAGTAAATTACGTACTAAAAATTTAGATTGCATCAATAAATAAATGTATTTCGGAACCTCATTTGCATAAATGCGTAACACTTTCTCCGACCCCTTTTGTATCATGCTCAAATAATTTGGGAATTCTTCCATATTTTCCATAAGTATGAACAGAATAAATCCTTGTACGTCTTAGTGGTTGATATTGTCACGCCCTTCATTATTTAGAATTGTAATAAGTGTTTTTTTGCTTATATACAAGCAGTGAGCCATAAAACATTTAAATTTGATAATTTGGTATAATGTTTCTATTGAATATCCAGATGTATGGAAGTTATAGATCAATTCTATTATTTCATTCACTTTGAACGTTTTTTCTCTAGCGGAAGTTTTTTTTCTGCGTACATGTTATCATGTTAATTAACTCGTCATAATGATATAAAAAGAAATTTCCCCAATTCCGATTTGAACAAATAATACTGAAAGTATTTTGTGTACGCTGTGATTAGTATAAACGTCATTTGGGTTGGGCTCATGACGACTGAATTTGAAGATAGATGGGGTGATTTATCGCACAAAAAGATTCCCTGACTTGTGGTGTGTTCTCCGTCTTAATGTCAACGTGACATTTTGAAATTTTTTATTTTTTCTGTTTCAAGGATCAAGCAACTCAAGCATGCATTGCGATATTTTATTTTGGAGATATTTACCTGTTTTCTAGATTTTTTCCCAGTACATTGTAATAAATTGTCGATATTCCCGTAGTATGTGAACCAAGATGGCGGACACCGGAACGTGGTATGTGTACCAAGTTAGGGTTAGGCTATAATTTCAGGTACAAATACTACGTTCCGAACTCGTAAAAAAAACTAAAATAGGGAAAATTGGAATAAAATTATGGCCTAATCCTGACCTGGTACACATACTATGTTCCGGTGTCCGCCATCTTGGTTCCCATACTACGGAAGCGCCAAATTGTCCAGTGAATAGTAGAACCTATAGTAGAGTAGGGTAAAACACACAAATATAATCAACTATTCCTGTATAAACTAACGAAATTGCTCCGATGTGTAAGTTTACTCAAAACTTAAAAATTGTATCCCGAACTCTCTCGAAAAAGTCTTCAATATAAAACAATTTAATAAAAATGTCCAACGCACATCAGGTGGCCTTACAAGGTTCATCGCATCTGCCTTTCCGCCCTATTGCTAGTCTAAATAAGGTGCAATTTCACTGCTGCTTCAAATCGCAAAATTACACTCTAGTAATCTGCAGGGGCTTTAAGAAAATCTTGGCGTAACCAAAATCGCCTTTGTAAGATACTTTTTGTATTAAAAATGAAGGTATATCAAGCGCAGGATTTTATCCATGCAAAAACTTACGAGACCATAAACATAGTCCTTGGCGCACCACAATCCACCACAAGTCATGACAAGGAAAAAACTACCAAAACCTCAAATCAAATGAATCATTTTTTGAATTTATATCAGTAATCGAGAAGGCTCTATTTCGGCTTTGTTTCAGATATTTATCAGTATATATTGATGCTTGGCGATTCAAATTTTGCATTGATGAATTTTATACATTTATTTGTAACAGTGTTAATACTGTTTGAAATCACTCAGTGATTTTTCTAAACACTTTTGTCCAATGCAACTTGAAAATTGGTCTAGAGTAGATCATATATAAAAGCAAATTGAGTCGTTAATTTTGGAATCATTATTTTTTATTATTTTTTCATTCAAATCGTAAAAAAGGGTTCAAATTTCATGGCATTTCTATCGCATTTCAGGTACGAAACTCTACATACTGGTCGATTTTGTAAATTTGCCAATAAATAGGAAATCTGATAATACGTTTCAAATTTATGTATTCGATTTAAAAACACTTGAATTCATCAAGGAATTGGTTGAATATTGGATCATAGTGAAAAATCAAACATCTGTTTTTACGATGATAGTATGTATGAATAATATCTCTCTATCCGTTTATTTTTTGTAAAATATTTACGAGTTGAGTTGAAGGATCAGATAAAGATTTTTCAAATTGATTAATTTGCAACTTTGATATTGCCCGGTTTACTAGTAACACAAATTTCATCATAAAACTCAATGCCCCGTTGCCCGTGGTATTAATAAAAAAAGGATTCAAAGGTCAGTGCGTGACTTGCTGCGCCGTAAATTTTGTCATGCGATACGGTCAGTAAGAATCGAGCCTAAATTTAGCACCAAATTCGCGTTTTTTGACATCAGACCCCTCGTGATTTTGCGTAAAATGGATAAATAGAGACCATATCACGGACGAGCGTGTTGTGTTGTTTTCGGGGTGACTTTCCGCTCCCTTGAGTCTTATAATTTTCTTCTCCGTTCGACGGTGATTAAACACGCAATGGCTAAATTTAAAAATGCCACAGAGATCACCAATTTCTACTAAAATCGTTTTCGTAGATTTTTATAGGTCACAAATATACCATACGGTTTTAATACTAATATTATGTGGTGTTATATCGTCTAATTTATTAAGCGCTATCATTGATTATTTTCCCAATGAAAGCTCTACATGATGGTTTAAATATTCTACTACCTTCTCGGTTTATAAATGATAAACTGGTTAGTACATAATTGCTCTCGAAATTTAAAAAAAAATCTATGAAACTTACTGAAATAATTCTGAGATAGTAAATTGTAACTCATGCGTAATTAATTCACTGATGCGTTTCTCAACATCATGGAAAACCGCATTTCGCACATACGCGATCACGTAGATTACACATTTTCGAACCCTTTTCCTGTTCTTGTTTCAAATTTGATAATATGTTTTGTCACTGAAACACGATTGTGATCACGAATTAGTATTTGCGGTATATATATCCAAAGATTATAAAAAAAATTCAAGGTTTCCAAAATGTCTGAAATATATTGATATACTTTATACGCGTTTCGAATATCGATGATTTGAGATTTCTCCGATTGAATTTTCGAACAAAAGTCTGAAATTGACCCAAACTATTCGAATATATAAGGAATATAATTAAATATATTTTTGAAACTAAGACGAGAACTTGGTTTTATTGGAAGTGATTATGTAACAGCTAAGCCTCGCAGTCAGTTAATGATTTCAATGTTGCATTTTAGTTTTATTCCACTTTCGAATATACGACTTTTTGAATAAACGTTATAGAGACTTTATGATATTTCAATCTGTTTTAAACAAGAATTGCTGCTGCATTTATATTTCGCAATTTTTTCCAATTGAAGCGTTACACTAAATTGAAAAATAAGGAATAGCAGCATGTCAATTCAAACGCAACGAGCCGTGAGTCGGTGGTAAAACAGAAAGACGTCCTCCATTGGGATACTTGTTAGTACTTTATATTTTAACCGGATTTCGAATTTGTCCAAATATGACTACGTCTACTCACACACCAATAACATTTGTCATAACATCATATCATTTTGACTCGTTATGACGTAATGAAGCAAAAAATAAACCGAATTATTTTCAAGAATGCTCTACTAGGCCAACATCATATCATTTTGACTCGTTATGACGTAATGAAGCAAAAAATAAACCGAATTATTTTCAAGAATGCTCTACTAGGCCATATAGCGTTTTCTTATTTTGGTATCAGATATTCGGAATTTTATTTGTATAAATTTCTAATAAAACTTAAATTAAAACATCGTTGACCCCAAAAAAACGTTTGTACCAAATATGCCAAGAAAAGGGCACAAATCCAAACCCGTCACGCCCATTCTTTGTATCTAAAGTCCAAGTTTTTTTTAAACCCCACTCAGAATATGTGCCGCCCTACAGTCGTTTAAACACCATGAAAAACAACAGTGACTGTATGTATATAAGTATGGCAATGTTGTTCATTCAACTGTATCAATTTCGGATAAATGAAAAACCCCGATCAAATATAGAAATACAGTCATATTTTGTGAATTGTCGAATGTGGTGTCAACGCCTGTTTGTTTGCGCTGCATTCATATGTTTAGGATTGGGTTGTATATAGAAATTATAACCAAACAATACAACCTTTTTCCTTCTAAAAGTCGAGTTATATGTAGTTTTCCGCCATTGGCGGGTCCACTATTTTATAACTTGTTAAATAAATGCGACGATGTGTTGATAATGAATACCTATAGTGAAGGATGTTTCACTGTTAATCATAACCTGTAAGTTGATTCATACATTGGGTATGTTCAGTTGGGCCAATTTAAAGGTTTTGGGTTTCCTTATAAGCGCATGGATTTCTCAGGGATAAACTTCAGAAGATCGGTGCGTTTGATGATAAACTTTATTGCATAACGTAGTTTCTCAACCTGAACTTTATTTTACGTGACACTGC